TCAAATTAAATTCAAGATGCTTACCTGTTCCTCAATCAGAGCCATGGTTTCCCACTGCAAATGGTACGAACTCAGCTCGTCAGCACGTGATATTGGCACACACTGTGGCAGGTGCAAGATCTCAAACAGTGATGGTATTTAAAGCTAAATTCACGTTCAAAAAGGCTTTAAATAAATCTAGATTAGATCAGGCAATCATCCATCTGTACAAAACTTGTGATTCCAAGCTGCAGTTTTTAACCCCCCATTCTGTATATATATCTTGGCATGCATGTGATGATAACACTTAATTGTGATGTTGCACATGGAATGGGTAACGGGACTACTGGAGTTGTATGCGGCTACGTTTGGCAAGACTCCATAACCCCCACGTTCGAAGAATATCCTCTTGTTCCGAACGACCCTACTTCACCCACTGTTCGTGAACCACACCAAATGCCAAAATTTCTCCTTATCAGACTGACCACAACAAAGTATTCGAGCGCGCGCCACTGTTAAGCTTCTTGATCTTCCTGACGACGTTTGGCCTCTTAGAGTTGTTTCAAAAGAGATAGCTATTCTGAAATCAGCTCCATGGACTCATGGACGCCTTACAGCAACCATGCGGCAGTTCCCTTTAGTGAATGGAGATGCTGTAACGTTCCACAAGCTGCAGGGATCCACTCATGATGGAACTTAATGCATTGGATCCTTGAAAGGAGCAGGGGTTCAAGCAGTTTATACAGCCTTGATACGTGTTAGACGTTTTGAGCAGTTGTTCCTCAGTGAACCGAAATTGTGGAATTCTGCGCGGCAATGGCAATTACCGAAGGGTCTGAAAGAAGAACAGCTACGTATTAACCTCATCAGTGAACGTTTGGTGTCTTATATACAAACATCATAAATAACGGTGCATTTCATAACTATCCCGAACTAACTCATTCATCTAAATACTTTAATTTTAGTAGTCAAAAACTGTTCTAGAACAGCGAGGGGATTAAAGACGGACAAAGCGCACCTGCAACCTGCATTCTACAGTTTTGAATATTGGTATGATTTTTCATCACATCATCCAAACTGTGTGTGCTCCAACTGTTTGAAGTGTGTTTTTATGGCGAACGAAGTGCATCCGGGTCCTCTTCGCATTCACCGGGCAGAACTTATTGGTAATTCTGGCAAAAAGATGCACAACAGGGTGACCAACAAATTGATTTCAACCGATTATCGGCACTTAATTGTTTTTTTTTAAATTATCAAACAGGTCATTTCAGCTTTCAGCTGAGCCCCTAGTTTGTTGAACACTAGGAGCTCTGTGCGCTATCCTTTTTCTTCCGACTTTATTTCCACAGAATAACGTAGGTTACATATTTGATTTCGGTGTTCTAGTGACAAAAGACTTTTTAAAGAGTAATGACTTTTTTTAAAGTGAAGAGTTCATTAAAGAGTAATGAACTCTTAAAGGTCTTGCTGATTTTTCTTTGTTTTTTTTCAGGAAAAGTCTTTGAATTTGTTCAGGCTGAATTTTACTTTTTCGCAGTTTGACTTATGATTTCTTTTTCAGTTCAGATCATTTTTTCTATTGAAAGGAAGGCAAAATCCGCTATCGAACAGCATAAATGTAAAGGGCACGAAAAACGTGCTCGACTTCTAATTTCGAAAATGGAAAGTAATTATCAGATTTCCCAGTGAAATAAAAGTTTCGCCTATTGATCCAATTTTCTCAAATTGGGTGAATTATAACAAAAAAGTGTCCATCATAAATTTTTCTGCAAACTCAAAGAGCTTTAAGGCCATTTATTTTTTCGAAATTCAAAAAAAACAAATCAGTGTTTTCAGTTTCCTTCTTTCTGGTTTTTGTCGGTTGGCTGTTTGAAATTATGTGGGATATAAAGTTTTGCGGTATATTCCAACAATTGCTTCGCGTAAAGCTCAAAACTGGTGTAAATTTTTGATTGTATTTATACGCAAAGCTCGCGTTTGCTGTAGAAATATTGGTTCTAGCACATTTGTAAAGTTACAGCCATAAATAATATGCCATACTTGTATAGGTTTAATGTCTGAGGATTAGAATTTACTTTCTGAGAGTGGCCTAAATAGATTTTTGAAAAAACGAAAAAATCCGATTAACTTGAAATTCTGTTAGAGACATTTTAGCGGGTATTTTGAAATTTCAGGTGTTTATCAAGTGGTAACTTAAAATATTTTGCCTCACTGGATTCAACTTGTTAAGGATTCAGCTTGTGTACCCATCAGTTTTGAATTGGTTTGCAAGGAAATCGTATAAAATAGGTTTTCGATAAGTTCAGACTCAAATGTGACATTTATGAAAGCACTTACTCCATTAATTAGGGCTGGGTCCGCAAAACTTGAAATTATCATCTCTGCAGTGAGGCTCTGTCAGGGTCCTCTCAGGAGCTGCAAATTTTGCCTCCCAATATGACTGCTCAAATCCTTGTAGTTTGCGAGATATGACGTTTTTTTATGATTTTCTCCGAAATTTTCAAAAAAAACTTGGATATTAAAAAAAGTTCAAAACTATGAAGATATCAATCCTGTTATTGGAATCTGTGAGGGTGCTCATAGAGGCTTGCGAATCCTGCCTCTGAATATGGCTGCTCAAATTCTTGTAGTTTTCGAGATGTGACGTATTTTAAGATTTTTTCAAAATTTTTCAAAAAACTTAGGTATAATTTTTTTTTACAAAGCTTGAAATAATAATCTCTGTATCAAGGCTCTGTCAGAGTACTCTCTGGAGTTTCGATTTTTGCCTCCAAATAGGACTGCTCAAAACCTTACAATTTTCCAGATATGACGTTTTTTGTGATTTTTTCAAAAAAATTTTCATGAAAATTAATTTTTTTTTCAAAGTTCGAAATTCTTAACCTGTAGTTGGGGGGCTGTCAGAGTAATCTCAGGGGTTGCAAATTTGGCCTCCAATTATGAATGTCCAAATCATTTTTGTTCAAGAAATACGACGATTTTTTTGGAAATTTTCAGAAAACTTAAATTACAAAACAATTCGTTGAAGTGAAATTTCCCATCCTGTAGTAGTGTACTTTTAAAAATGTTGAATATTGTCATCAAAAAAGACTGCTCAAGTTTTGGTAGTTTTCGAGATGTTAATTTTTTTCTGGTTTTCAAAAAAAATACTTTTTTTTAGAAAACTTAAGGTGAAGTTTCTCAAAATTTGAATTTCTCAATGTTGTAGTTAGGTACTGTAAGAGTACTCTCTGGAGTTGCAAATCTTGCGTCCAAATGCGACTGCTGAATTGCTTTCATTTTCCCAGATGTAACGTTTCTTAATTCATTATAAACTTAGATACAAAAAAATGTCACAAATTTTTATGGTTTTTCAAAATTTAAATTAAAAAATGAATGAAAAACTTTACAAAATTTCAAGTTACTCTCAGGAGCTGCAAATCTTGCGTCCAATGTGACTGCTCAATTGCTTTTGTTTTCGCAGATGTGACGTTTTTTAGTTCATTTTAAAATTTTCGAAGAATTTAAATAAAACTTCACAAAATTTTATGGTTCTTCAAAATTTGTGTAAAAAACTTGAATAGAAAATTTTGCAAAATTTGTAATTACGAACCCTGTAATTGGGTGCTGTCAGAGTACACCTAAAGAATATATTTTTGTTGTTGAAAGTTCGAAGCACCGGAGGTGCGTTACACGCTAGTATTTTGTAAATCAGGTGGAATGTTAACGGTGTCCTTACTGTTGTACATTCCATTTTTCACTATTCGATTTCACAGATCCTCCGTTTCAGTACAAACATATGCCAAGTCTTCACTATGTGTCTTACCTATTTGCGCAACGTATTTTTCAAGAGAAGCAATACGTTTCAATTTTCAATCAATTCAGAATTTAATATGTCCAACTCACTTTGTAAGCCTTTTATTAGGCTTACTATCCCGAGTTGATCCTCGAAGGCCTCCATCCGCTCCTGAAGTTTGCTCATGATTGATATAATACAATTATAAAGGCGGGTTAGCAACATGAAAATGCATTTGTTCAATTAAACGGTAAAAAAAAGTTTCAGAATATGGCCGATTTTAATGCAGACAGAAAAATTTAGGTCATGTGAGAGAAAAAAGAGCGAAAGATTTTCAAAAATAGCGCTGATTTTCCGACTTTATCGCAAAGTTAAGGAAGGAACTTTGGACTAGCTAGTGATTTTTGTTCAATTTGGGTATTTCGACCAGGCAAGCTCACAGTAAATCAGAAAATTTGGCTGTTTCGAGAAAAAAATGGTCTGAATTTTTTTCGAATGTCAGACTTAATTAAAACAATTTAAGAGGTTGACCTCTGCACCACAAATTGAACTTCTATCACAATTTTAGCGATATCTTAGTAATTTTTGAGTCGCCTTTGTTGCAGATGCGAACTAGAAAACTTTACTAAAGCAAATAAAAATGCTAATTTTTTTGTAGTACTTTTGCTGCTTAGCATTGGAAATTTGATAGCATTCATACCTGCTTTATTGGCGACTTGTGTTAGTATACTTTCCAGCGACAGTGGAGCAGGTGCATAGACGAGACTCCTAGTGGCCAAGTTGATTAAGGCAAACGTCTCTCAGCACGAGTGACGTGTGTTCGAATCCTCTTCGGTCATGGTTGGAGTGGTCTCAGTGTCATCTGCCTCAAGCTGCGGCCGGCTGCGGCCAAATTGAAGACATCCCCCTCACCTTCGGTTGGTTCTGCATTGATTAGGACCGGGGACAGTAAAAAAAATCTCCTAGTTTACAGGTCCGAAGTTTCATTCCAGCAGATAGCATAAGTTTGTTTCAAGGCTTATTTTCCCCCATATTTAAGAGCTACTTTTTGCCGTTTTTTCGCTTGTTTCTGCGATGCGTGTAAACCTTAGTGCTAATTACTTGCCAAGAAATCGTCTGCTCTTGTCTCTTTTTGTGAACTAAATAATTTCGACTAAATGGCTTTCCAATAACAAAGTTAATGCTTTCCAATTAACTAAACTCCTCGAAGGATGCAGTGAAAGTGAAAGTTTGTTTTTTCAGTTTATCGAATGTTGCTTGTATATAGCCTATTCCTCCCACTTTTTGCTCAGCCCACCTGGGCTCTTATTGAGGGCATCTACTGCGGACTAGAAAACTGCTATGATGTGCTGGGAGTAACGAGAGACGCCACACCTCGCGAGATCACGAAAGCATACCGAAAGCTAGCTCGCGAGTACCACCCGGACTCAAATAAAGATGACCCAACAGCTCACGATAAGTTTATTACAATAGCCACAGCTTATGAGACACTTAAAGATGAAGAAACAAGAACTGAGTATAATTCTATGCTTGATAATCCAGACCAAATTTACAGACATTACTACAGGTATTACAGGAGAAAAGCGCCAAATGTGGATGTTAGATTAGTGTTAGTAGTGACAATATCAGTCATATCAGCAATACAGTATTACGCATGTTGGTATCGATATCACGAAGCTATTAGTTACCTGGTGACGGTGGCTAAATATAGAAACATGGCCATAGAGATCGCACAAGATAGAGGTCTGTTTGACACGGGAAAGAACAAGGTCAAAGGCAACAGAGGGGTCAAAGAGGAAATGAAGAGCTTCAAGGAACAGGTCATCAGAGATATCGTAGCTGAAAACATGGACATTCAAGGTAAATAGTAAGGATGTATGATTTATAACAAAAAAAACAAGTCAGCTAAAAGTTTTTCAGTATTATCGATATTTTGATCGCTTGTCTAAATAGGTTTCATGATATTTCAGAGAGTTGGATATTTAGTAAGCTATATCTTAATATTCCTTTTTTTATTTTAGGAGGCTACAGCAAACCAGACATCTATTGTATCCTTTGGGTGCAGCTGTTCACGTGGCCCTACCAACGGGTATTAGACCTCAAATGGTTGACCTTGTATTTTGTAAATCACACAATATTCAAGAAACCCCTAGGCAGGGAGCAGAAGCTGTACAAAATCAGGAAGAATCTCAAGCTCTCAGAGAGTCAGTTCAACTACCTGGAACCACATCAGATTAACGAGTACCTCGATTTGAAACTATGGGAGAAGGATTCCTTCGACGACTATAAACGTGAGAAAGAAGAAGAGCAAAAGCTGCTAATGGCCAATAATGCTAAGCTAAAAAAATACAAACGCTGGCTGAAAAACCATGGCACAGGTCGGATGACCTTCGAAGATTAGACAGCGCTTCAAAACTGAAATCTTGATAGCATCAGTTGAACGTTCATCAAATTGTATTATTTAAAAGTGCCTACGAGTTGATAATCAGATATTATACTGGTCTACGTGCAAACATCCAAAATAGCCTAAAAAATTAGGTGATAGAATTATAAAATAAGTTAAGAAAAGAAAACATACGGAGGGCTGACGCATATAGAGCAGATCTCAAGTGATTTTTGTCTTCCAGGATCCGTGGCGCTTCCTTCCTATAACCACGATATTTTCCATAAAATAGGAATTTTGGTTTGTAATATAGTTTCTCGGATGGTTGCCTTGCAAGCGTTGGTCGTGATTTTATGGTCGGTAAGAAAACAAAAACAGGCCAAAACGACGTTAATAAGCACTATTTGCAAAGTTTCGATCGGAAATAACGTTTTTTTGGCGCGCTCTCCCTCATCTTAATTAAATTTTTTAGGACCAGTTTGAGGTTGGTCATCAAAAATGGGTGTCGTTAAATAGTACCAAAGGGGGCCTTTGAAAAAATTCGTCAACTAGAATTGTGGGGGTTTGCTGGAATGGAGTGAATGCTCGGTTAGTGGTGCTCTGGAGGTGGGTTGTAGTATTTTTTTGGTACCAGCGAAGTTACCGTCTTTTTGGATCTTGAAGATTTCCCGTGACAAGGATAGAAACGATTTATTCACTTCGTTAGATATGAATAAAATATTTCGCTTAAGAGTTCAAACTAGATGGTTCAATGTCGAGATATTATGATGCGTAACTTGTGTTTTTGTTCCTTTTTCTTAGGTATGAATTTTTATTTATTTTTAAATGTTAATGTTATGAATCTCAAAGAAATTTATTTGATACGAGAACTAAATGCTTAATAAATTCAACGTTTCAAGTTGTTCCATTTTCATTCGAGTTTTAGGTCTAATCTTTGAGGGACAAGCTCAAATGAACTGCGAGTAAACCGTACATACCCGTCAAGACGAACAGGTTGAACTGTATTTGAGAGATTTGGTAATTGAGAAGAATGGCTCTTCAAGCACTCCATGCTTGTACTTGGGTGACTTACAAGAAGAATTTGCTCTGAAGTTTTCTAAATACATCTATTGATAGTTTTCACATGATCAAATAAATGGATGAAATTTGAAGTATTCGGCTTTCAATAGATATACAAACTAACGTTTAATTCTATAACAAAGTCGCACATTACTGTTCAATACCTGTATTCAGTTTTATCCCAGTATATAGTAGAAGTAGTAGCGTTTAAGTACAATCGACACTGAGGATAATAATACGGGCTATTGTGATTGCTCCGACTTGCCAAGAGAGTGACAGAAAATTTGAACTTGGTCTATTTTTTTTCTTCAAATTAAATTCAATTGTTATGAAGAAATTTTGGTGCTATTTTTATACCATTTGAAAGATATTGATGCCCTGAGGTCAAATTAAAAAATTTTTCCTGCGACGATTTTTGTTGCCAGTTTGGGAAAAGTTGCGTTGCAGAAAAGCGGCGAATTAATCAGGCCTTGAAATTTTTTCAAATTGAGTTGAGCTAAGCTATTTGGTTTTATCTAACCTTAATTAGACGAGAAACATAGCCTTTTCTCACATGGCATGTGGGATTTTTTTTTAAATATCAGAAATTTTACTTTTGTTCGAATTTATAAATATTTTTGGTTACACTAGCCAGCTTGCGAGCGTTAATGTATTAGTACAAATGTAGAAAACGAACGGTGTTGATTGGTTATTGGATTTTCTGTTATGTATTATACTTAAACCCTTTCTAGAATTTGAATGTTTCAATATAAATTAGTTGGTTGCACGTGATAGAATCTCCCGGAGATTCACTGATTCTATATGAAAAGTTGAAGTCGTCTAAGAAGATTGTCAATTGTCAAATTGGCATATAACTACAAGCCTTTTTTCTAACCTAACTGTAAAATAAAAGTGTTCACTTATTTGAAAATTTCATTGTAGCATTGGAAATTGCATAGCATCTGTTCTCTGCTTTATTTGTGGCTAGTGTTTGTAATTAATTAAGTGTCCTTGGTTAGTGCGAGAGAATGGTTAGCTCTAGGTTCTTGGTCTCAGTGGTTATAGGTTCGAATCCGTGAGGTAGCTGAATTTTTACTAATTCGAGGCTTATTTCTACTTGTTTCTATCGCAAATTATAGAGCTTCTTTTTATCGTGTTCTCGCAAGTGTTAGCGAAGCGAAGCTTCGCCTCTGTGTAAAATAGATTTTTTTGCGAAACCACACAAACCGTTGTTCACAAGCGTTGTCTGTTATCTTTTTGCTGGTGTCTGAGAGGCACAATTTCGCCTCTGTGTTTACACTTGCCTCATACTCATGTTTTTTCTGGAGCTTTCTTTCGATATCCCACTTTCCTAAAATCATCCGAATACTAGTGACACAAAAAAGAAATGCTTAGCAATGATGCACCCGAGAATTTACTGTGACTCATTTGTTTCAGGTAGTGATTATGGCTTCCGCAATATCATTTGTGCCCTCGCGCAAGGGACCCTCTGGACTGTCGGTTAATGGGGAGGAGAAACAGAGATACGACCGAATGTTCATGAGTCTTCTGCCACCTGGATCCCACCCCAATCAGCTGGTTGGAGGGGACAAAATGAAAGAGGTCTTCCTCAAGTCAGGACTGCAGCCTAAAGTGCTAGGAGTCATATGGTAGGAAAATCAAGTGATTTTAACTAAAAGTTTTTATCCACCACGCGCAGTAACAATGAACGAGACTTTGGGATTTGCAGGAAGAACCGCTGTTATGTTCCTGGTTAAGGTACTTTTGTAATACTTTTTTTCTAAGAAATGTCGTCTTTAACAATATTCCGAAAGGGTGAGCACGGAATTTGGTGCTTCTCGAACCGCCAGCCTCTGGAATGTAAGAAAGCTAATTGCAGTGGGCATCATTATATTTCACCAAATGAGATTGACACGATAAGTCATGATGTATAAAAGTACTTCCCCGAATCTAAGTTTGTCATCGTTTTAGTATTTCTGCTATGCATCGAGATATCAAAAAACATTGTTTCTTCGATATCTGTTGTTGAATCTGATTTAGGGCATATTTTGATGTATTTATCTTGGTCATGGGATTTGGCGTGGTTATGGGATTTAGGTCTTCAAGTTACCTTCCCCTGAGCTAAAGTTTCTTGAATTATTAATGTTATGCTAATAATGCGGCATACTTGCTGCAGGGATCAAATGTCATTGGAATCAGAGATCTCTGTTATAGAATTTCATGTGCTATGTTCACAAGCCTTAAACCAGAGCTGGTGATAAAAATGTGTCATGTCCCGCTAGCGCCGACCGCCATGATCCGCTCTCGTCTCTTGATGGTGCGCCATTATTTAACTGACCACAAAATACAGCCACTAGAAAATAACAACGATAACTGGCTTCTCTGTAATTAATGCCGAAAGTTCCGACCAAAAAAGTATTAAAACAAAACATATATGATTTTTTGGAAATTGTGATGTTTGTTATTCTTTTCGCTAGGAGCGGATTTAAAGGAAAGCCTAGAAAATAGGTACATTCAATATTAAGAGTACGGTGCGCTTATTTGACAACAGATTTTATCAAAAAATTAATAGAAAAAAGTTCGAGTCAAGAAGGCGCTAAATGAAGCTTTATAAGCAATATAAAGCATTATTTAAGAATATAAAGTTAATATTCCCGGAGTAAAACTAAATTTTTACGTCTTATTTTTTTATTATAGGCCTGCTCGCTTGCTTATTTTCTCGAAATTTGACCGAAAATCAATAATTTTAAACCCGTTTTTCTCCATTGAGATTTTTTTCTGGAAGAATAGGGTTCGAATCACGGCAGCTAAGGCTTTAATGTGATATATCACTCGCCCCTTCCGACAGTTTTTCGATACCTGATTTTGCGTGGTAAACGACAAAAGTATTAGAACACCCGAATACAAAGTTTCTCCCCACTTTCAGTGGTCGGAACAGTTAGTTGATAAATTATAGTTTGAGAATAATTTTCAGTCGATGGCATATTGACAGTTCTCTGTATGTAGATTAGCAGTTTTATGTGTTCGTCCGTTCGCGGATAATTACGTGTTAATGGGTTATAGGGAGAAGTCTGATCTGACGAAAGATGGCAGCCTAGACAACAGGGAGTTCGCCATCGCCATGTGTCTCATAGAACATGTCCTCGGAGGAAACACTATACCGCCAGTTGTGCCTCAACAGGTCATCAATATGAACATCCCACCACCGACTGTGTCTGCTCCAGTAGCTGGACCCACTCCTGCTCCTGGAGGCCCCCCACCTGGCCAGATGCAAAACTCGCAATCCGCATGTGAGTCGCTAGATTGTTGCTTCGAAGCAAGAAGACTGAATGCTTACTTGAATTTAAATATAATAAATAAGTATATTACGAGGCCAAACTGTGTATTTTAAGAATTGTAAGCGGGTTCCGCGACAGACTGAAAACAGGATTGTCATGGAATCCGCAACACGGCTAATTTTGATCTTTTTGCTGTTTTGGGTTCCTGGAACCCAATTTGTTCGTGGAACCCAAAACAGCAAAAAGATCAAAATTAGCCGTGTTGCGGATTCCATGACAATCCTGTTTTCAGTCTGTCGCGGAACCCGCTTGCAATTCTTAAAATACACAGTTTGGCCTCGTAATATACTGAACGACATAAAAAAAGTATATCGCTCAAAATTGCTCAAAGCAGCGAAATTTGTGGAATCCCGATTAAAACTTAAATGACAATCCTGTTTTCAGTCTGTCGCGGAACCCGCTTACATTTCTTAAAATACACAGTTTGGCCTCGTAATATTTTGAGCGATATAAAAAAGTATATCGCTCAAAATTGGTCAAAGCAGCGAAATTTGTGGAATCCCGATTAAAACTTAAATGACAATCCTGTTTTCAGTCTGTCGCGGAACCCGCTTACATTTCTTAAAATACACAGTTTGGCCTCGTAATATTTTGAGCGATATAAAAAAGTATATCGCTCAAAATTGGTCAAAGCAGCGAAATTTGTGGAATCCCGATTAAAACTTAAAACAGGAATTTAGGTTTTGAACTGGAAATTAAAACAATTTACGGAACCCATTAACATATATGTACATTACATTATAATTTTTTTTATTTAAGATCATTTATCCACGGGGGAAAGGACTAACACGAGCTGTACAGCTCATCACGGCGAACCGCTATTGTGCCCCTGTTTAACCGTTTTGCGTTACACTAGTTTTAGTTTAGCGGAATCCTTTAACATTTGCGGAATCCAGAACAGCTTGCTGTAATTTCCCGTTGGGGAACCCGCGGCACAGTTAATGTGCCGAAGAAATTTGAGCGGAATCCACGGAAATTTTGTAATAACACGTTTAAAGACTTTTCTCTATATTTCAAAGACTTACACACGCCAAACGGAGCCCCTATCAAGTGCACAGTCCCCCTATTTGGCCTCGTTATATACCTTCCTAGAAAGTATGGACAAAAGTCAGATTCAAAATTTCCAGCGAAGATGAAGTTATACAGTGCTGATTTAAATTAACCGGACAAAACGCGTTTAACTTGAAATTTAAAACGCATTTTTCTCAAATTGGGTTGAGTTTAGGTGGAAACTTATGAAGACAAAACTTGCCTAAAATTTAAACAGAATTAATATGGTTTGCGAAATTCAGGCCAAAAATTTTACCCCAAAAAAGGGTCATTTTGGCTTTTCTTAGTTAATCAAAAATTACGCCGAAAATACCCAGTCGATCAAAGAGATATTTATATCAAAGTGAGCCCCTTATGTAGTCCAAAAAACTTTAAGAAGGGTATATTCTCCAAAAAAAAATTGCAAACCGTACCGTTTAAAATTCTTTTTAAATAAAAAGTTGGTATTTATATAGTAAAAACGACCTTTTTTGTCTATCAAACAAAAACAAATTAACTTATACAATGTTTTGGAGAATATACCGTTATTAAAGTTTGTTGGACTACGTAAGGGGCTCACTTTGATATAAATATCTCTTTGATCGACTGGGTTTTTTTGGCGTAATTTTTGATTAAGTAAGAAAAGCCAAAATGACCCATTTTTGGGGTAAAATTTTTGGCCTGAGTTTCGCAAAACAAATTACACCATATTAATTCTGCTTAAATTTTAGGTCTTTAGAAGTTTCCACCTAATCTCAACCCAATTTGAGAAAAATGCGTTTTAAATTTCAAGTTTAACGTGTTTTGTCCGGTTAATTTAAATCAGCACTGTACATGAAACTCATGATAAATATGCTTAGAATTAGCAAGAGTTATCCAATCGGAACATATAATTTTCTCAGGTTTACAGTTTGTCTTACAGAATCACTGAATCATGATAGCTTCACTTATAATAAATTCAAGTTGAGCTCTAATTCTGCACAGTTGGTGTAGATGTAACGTGCATGCCACTGATAACAAAGGTTGAGAGTTCAAGTTCGGCCAGGATGTGTTCTTTGTGCAACCTGAAAATTTTCCGCTTGAAAAAAATGATGGCTTTTTTTTGCTTGGTTGCCACAGCTCGGATGGTTTAGGCAATTGAAAATCCTTTTGATGGTTTCCGGTTAAGCTATTGGTCTGTGAGTTTAAAGAAGTTTTGCACGAATTTTTTTGATATAAGATTTTGGCATTTTTTGTGTTAGTGAGCTTCAGTGATAATTCAACACCTTGTTTTTTTGCAGAAAAAGTCTTGTTCACGCTTAAATTTGATTCTCCTTGTTGTTGTTTTCTCTGCAAATCGGAAAAATTTTCTCAAACATTCAATCATTTTTTGCGGTTTTAAGAGTTTGTTGACACTTTTCTAACAGTCTATTGGCTTTATGAGGTTTTTTGTTTTGTCTCTGAATTCTTGTCTTACTCATAACTCGCCCCTTTTCACACTCGCCATAATCAAATAGTTTGAAACCATGATTTCCTCTAATTGCAATTTTTAAAATCCAATTTTTTCGTTTTTGATAAGTAGTTCGCTTCGTATGACTTTGATAAATGGTTTTTCTGCATTATAACTGTAGTAGATAACTACTGGATTGTTTCTAGTCTGGAAACGATATGAAACAATCTTCTCAGCCACCATGCCTCTTCGCATTTAGTTTTGTTACGCCTGAGCACTGGCATGTTTTATTGTATCGCATGTGATTCATGCAAAGTTCTGCTCCGCACGTTTTTTCGATTATTAATTCAAGGTTACCATCTATAGCCATCGTTCAAAAAAAGGTAAACGAAAACTATGTAGGAAAAAATTTTAAATTTGGAATATGAAAGTTAGAACATTACACTTGTATAAGACGAAGCATAAGCACCTGCATAAGAATCTGACCGTAACCTTGTCAGCTTAATTCCCGTTGCCCGATTCATTTTGAAGGTTCAGCTTTCTTCTAAGTCTCTGAATGTCATTTTTTAAGCTTCATTGGTGGACGGAATTGAGGTACAAGATTTTCAGAGGAATTGTAATTCCGATTTTGAAGAAAAATTTTTTAATCAATACTTTTCAATTAAAAACAAGGATAATCGGTTACTGTGCAAGTAGCACAGAATGTTTCCACCGGTCTTAAATAAATACAACAAAATAGTTTCCAATTAGTTTCGTTTTTTCGGCTTGGGGATATAGGAAGCTGCGCGAAAAAGTAAAGCTTAGGCATTTTCGTCAGTCATTTAAAATATGCAAATTGGAAAACAATTTTTGAAGACAAAGAAACTAATTTCAATAGAGAAAAACTAAATTTTCAAGTCTTAAGTTAAGCATAAATAAGCTAATGTAAGCCTGCTCACTCGCTCGAAGTTAGACGAAAAATCAGAAACTTCAAACAGGTTTTTCTCTACACAGGGAAAACTTTTTGAAATTTTGTAACGCGGTTCGAATCTCGACTGAAAGGGCTTTTATATGATATATCACTCAACCCTGTCCGATGATTGTTTGTGGTAGCTAATTTTGCGTGGAAAACAAAAAAAAAACAAAGAAACTAAAACTTACCCGAATACAAACCCGGAACAAAAATTGAGTTATTTCTGATTTTTTAAATATTTTCAACTTGTCGATTTATATACAAAAATTTAATACGCATGCAATTATTATGCTCGCTATTAGCAAGCTTTAGTAATTCGGAACGTACTTTTACTTGTAAACACTTTGTTTAATAGAATCACTGAATCATTTTCTCAAATGTGCACTTTGATCAACCAAAAATGTTTTATGACCATGTCTGCATATTAGATACCCGTTCTATTCAATAATAATAAAGATTTTTTTGGTAATTATTTCAGTGTTTTTTGATGTTTTTTACTCAACAGGGTTTGCTCAACTTTTGTCGGCTTTGCTACCGCCCCGTAAATTTTGTTTCGATACAAATTTATCTATCAATTTTTGTATTCAAAACAGATTGAGACAAAGATATGTAATTTTTGGTAGATCTAGTTTTTCAAACTTGTTTCGGTTTTATGTCTTCTAGGTTGTCAGGCCATGTTTATGCTGTGTCACAAGTTGTGCGAAGCTCTGCTTTGCCTCTGTGTATAATTTTGAGTTATTAAAAAAATCGATCATTTTCAAAAAATTGATCTTTTGATTTTTTTAAGTTGGTTTTGGCAATGCTTTCATTCCTGGCGCTCCGACTGGACCGCAGAGCGCAACAACGCTCCCTAGGCCCATGGGTCCTGTTCCCCAAGTTCCTCAACACAAACCGGTGCCGGACCCACGATTCTCAGCCACTATGCCTCTAACAACCAACAGCGTTATCGACTCTGCTTTTGGTCAACCTGCATTCGGAGCTCCGCCCGTGATACCTGCGCGCAACGATGCCCCTGGACAACAGGCGAATGCGTGGGCTTTCGGGACACCGCCACCGACTCAAGTGGCTCCGCAGAGGAAGGATTCGTTGCCGATTGGGAATGCATTCGGAGCTGCGCCTCCTGTGACTGATTGGCTAGTTCCTGTAGCATCTCGGGCCAAGTATAGACAGCAGTTTACATTGAGTGATGTTGGCAAAACTGGTGCAATCGGAGGTGTGTATTTGTGTGTCATGTAACTGAAAGCTGGATCTAACTAAATTATTTTATTTATATTGTTGTTTGTTTTAGGACAGTATAAATTGGGTATTGGCTCTGAATATGGTTGGAAGTTGAAGCTTTTTGCATTTTGTGTTAGATTTTTAATTGCAAACCCAAACCCCATAGTTTAGTTGATGATTAAATGTGATGGAGTTGTTTGTTAAGAGTCGGTGAACGTAGTTCAGACTCGTAAATAGGTCGATGGTTTTATTATTTTTTTTCAAAAAGTCTTAAAGTTTGTTCAGGCTCAAATTTACTTTTTCGCGGTTTGACTTTTGATTTTTTAAATTCAGTTCATTTCCTTTCAGAACAGCAAAGTTGTATAGGTTACAAAAAACGTGATCGACTTCTTCTTTCGAAATGGAATTTAATTATCAGATTTCCCAGAGAAACAAAAATTTTACCTCATCCAGTTTTCTCAAATTGGGTTAATTTTATCAAAAAAGTCACAATCATAAATTGTTCCGGAAGTGCAAAGAGGTGTAAGCCATCTATCTTTTTCTTGGAAATTCGAAACTGAAATTTTTTCAAAAAACAAGTCGATTTTTTTTCTGTTTACTTGCGTTCATTGTTCATTGACTCTTTTCCAACTGTTTGTTGGCTATGTTTTGATTTATTTCAATCAGAAAGATTGAAAGTTTATTTTTAGCAAATGTGGCTCGCAATCTACTTCTGCAAACAAAAGTGGACACCAACATCTTAGCTCGCATTTGGTATGTAAGCTTTCGTTACGTTATCTTCTTCGTGCATCTGTCAATATTTTTCAGATATAATGAACAAGTAGCGTAAAATGTTCCGATTTTTAAAAACTTTTTGTGGAGATTTGTGTAAAAGGTGTAATTGTGTAAAAATCGAAACGTTTAAACCCCGCAGTCTTAAAGCTCCATCTGAAATTTTGGTTTTGAATAGTTTATTCTGATTGAAATTGACTCCGAGCCCTTGAGTCGAAGTTGTATAGAAGTAGGAATGGCTGCTGTCTATCCTTCCACGGATTAACTTAAACCTCAATCAGCAGAAGATTAACTTCATACCGAGTATGCCCCCATCTCCATTAATCATTATGTGTAAAACTCGAAATGCAAAAATTTAAAGAGTTTAGAAGATGTGTAAAACCAGTTCGAATTAGTTGAAACAATTTTTGTGTTGTTTTTTTTTGAAGATTTCCTAATGTCTGTAACCGCCGTTAAAGATTTCCTTATGTCCTTAACCACCGTTATAAACCTTAAAATGAACCTTGATGAACCTTAAAATTGTCTCTTTAGATATCGTTATACTTTTTGATATACGATTACTAATTAAACGTGCTTGTTTTAGGAATCTGTCGAGCCTTCGTGGCCAGGCAAGTCTGAATAGCGAGGAGTTTGTGCTGGCGATGCACCTGTGTGACATGGTGAAAGGAGGCGAGCAGCTGCCAGCTACTTTGCCTCCACTTCTAGTCCCTCCATCATTTAGGTACGGAGACTTAGTTATCTTAAATGGAATAACATGTAAACAATCAGACTGCTTTCGAAAGTGCTTTTGGAGGAACTTACTATCCAGGAAGTGGCACTTGCACTGAGATAGATGAAAAGTAGGAAAAGCCCAGGGCTAACGTCGGACATGGTAAAATTTACCGGGGATTGTGGACTTGCTGAACTTTTTGAAGTCCTGAAATGTAGGATTCTGGTCTAATCCCCTCCGACTGGGGTGAAAGTGAAACGGTTACTTTTTACAAAGCAAAAGGCAATCCGTTAGTATGTGGATCCTACATAGGCCTCCGATTACTGGAACACGCATTGAAAATTTCAAAAAAGTACTAGAAAATTGTCTGAGACAATTGATAAAAATAGATGACTTGCAATTTGGCTTTATGAGTGGTAGATCAATTACCGGTTTGTTTTTCTTATTAGGCAAATGGAGGAACTTTTAAGGGAAACGAAAAATCCCCTACGTCACTTATTTGTTGATCTCGAAAAAGCCTTCGACCGTGTTTCCAGGGAACTGATCCAATGGGCTCTGAGCCAACAGAATTTCCGAAAATCTGACACGATTAATAATGTGTCTGTACACCGAGTCCAAAAAACCAGAGTTCGCCAGCCCCAAGGATGCATTGATTACTTCGAAAGTAAAGTAGGCGTGCATCAAGCATCGGCACTTAGCCGATTGTTATTTATATTAGTAATGGAAAAGGCTACGAGGAACTGTCGGTCCATGGTACCATGGCATATGCTATATGCAGATGACCGTGTGGTATCCGCTGAAACGGAATCTTAGTCTATTGAGAAGTTGAATAAGTGAAACAAAACTTTGCAAAAACGTGATTTAAAGATCAACGTGGATAAGACAAAGCAAGGTCTAAAAAACGCTGGATTGATTGTGTTAAACGAGACTTTAATACTTTAGGCCTCAAATCACAGACCGACTTGATCGAATGAGATAAAAAAACGTGTTTTCTTCCAATGAACAGCTTGAATGATACTCAGAATGCTCTCATTTGAAACATTGCTTGCGAAATTTCCGAATGTCCAACCCCGCCACAATGGGAAAACGGACAATATATGCATTAGTAGTAGTAGTAATAAAGTGCTATAATGCGGTGTTTTGATCAACGATCAGTTTTTTCAAACGCACACAAATGTTGTTTTATCGTTATTTCCATATATGGTAGAACCGATCATTTGCTCTTGGTCTATACAAAAATTTCTACTGAATTTGGAATATATGCTGCCAAAAAATCCTCGAAAATCGGTATTTTAAAAAATAGAAACCTGAATTTGAGCTTTTTTCCACTAGTGTACATGACCACATCAGTAATCCAACCGTGGAATACTGTTTAGAAAGTCCAATCAAAGTGTTCAACTACTTTCAAGCATACTTTGTTTCAAGATATCAGGCAGCAAAAATTTGCTTTAAAAAGCGGATAGAGCTAGATCATATGCTGTATAATTAATGCCATTTGTCTTAAAATGCCAGTTGTCACCATCTGCAGTAAGTCTTGCATCGAATAAACTCTTTCTCGAAAAAACCGCGCAACATTTTTCTCATGCGATGTGAAATTTTCTCAGCGAGAAAAATGCGAGTGAAAACTCACTAACTGTTTTTTTGACCATTTTGCGCGATTAGAAAAACTTACTGCAGTCCGTGAAAGTTCGCGTCTTCAGACCGGGAAAAAATGTAAGTTCGTGAAACCAAGTTTTTTTTTTCACATATGGTAACACTGATCATTTTTCCTTGGTCTATATAAAAATTAATCTGAAACTCGAAGTAATTATTGTCCAAAATCATCTTTGAAAACAGGCTTTTGAAAGAGTAAAACCTAAAAGTGGGCAAATTTTTGTCTACTAGTGTATGGGCCGTTTTCGAATCTTCTGCTAAAGCGATTTTTTTTCGCTGTGATTGTCTAAATCGTGGTTCGTTGTTCTGAGCTTTGTGCTTTAGGTTCAACTTCGCACCTGAGTAAAATGCGACTTCGACTTTGATGTTGTCTTTCTGTGAGCGGGTTTAAAAATTATGATGGGAACAAAATGTATCCTGGGCTTGAAAGTCAGTAAACGAAGTGAATTTTTTGCTTTGGTAGGTTATTGTTTGTGTTTCAGGAAAAATTCTTGTGTGCTCAAATATAATTTTTGGTGGCTCGTCTTTTTCATTTTTTTTTAAGTTACTTCAAGAATTTTTGCTAAATGAAATGCAGATAAAGGCATTAATTTAACTAGCGAGCTTGCAAGAATTAGTGTATTAGTTGAAATTTCTTTTTCAAGAGTTATGAACGCAGTGAGTACTCTTAATTATGTCTTGCTGATTTTTGTTGTTTTTTTTTCTGCAAAAAGTCTTAAAATTTGTTCACGCTAAATTTTGATTTTCGCGGTTTGACTTAAGTTTTTTTTTCAGTTCAGTGCATTTCCATTGTTAAAAGGAAGGCAAACTCCACCATCGAACAGCAAAAATGTAAAGGTCACGAAAAACGTGATCAACTTCTAATCACGAAAGTGGAACTTTATTATCGAATTTCTCAGTGAAACAAAAGATTTACTTATTGATAGTTTTCTCAAATTTGGTTAATTTTAACAAAAAACTGTCCATCATAAATTATTTTACAAATTCAAAGAGCTCTAAGGCCATTTTTTTCGAGTTTCAAAAGTTGAAGATTTTGAAAAAAAACTAGTCAGTTTTGTTTTAGTTCCATTGCGTTCATTACTTTTTGCAGCTACCAGTTGGCTATGTTTCTCTAAACTAACTCGCAAATAAAAGTGTTCATTAAAATTGGTCGCTCATTTGGTGGAACTTTTGCTATTATCACGATCTGTTGCACTGGAATGTTTAAAGCATCTGTGCTCTGAAATTTCTCTGCTTTATTTGTGGCTAGTGTTTGTGATTTATTAAGCGTCAGTGGCTAAGTGGTTAGTGCGTGAGACTTATAATCTCTTGGTCATAATTCGAATCCCAGACGTAGCCAAGTTTTTACAAATCAAGGCTGATTTATAATTTGTTATGGCATTTTATAGAGCTGCTTTTTGTGTTATCGCTAGTGTTTGCGAAGCGCAGCTTTGCCCCTATGCAAAAAAAAACGGCCTCAATAATTCTCTTCATTACCCGCACTGTCTTCATTAATAGTATGCCAAAGATGTGCTTTTTTCATTGGGAATGCCTCAGCCTTTGAGTGTAATGTCTCAGTGAATGCTTTGAGAGCGCTTTGAAGTCTATGAAGTAGTTTTTGTAAAAAAAAAACATTCAAAAACAAGAAAAATTTAAGTCCTCACATGCTTGCTATATTGAGAAATAGTATGTTTTACGTCTAATTACGCATTATTAAGAGCAAATAACTGAACTCAGCTTAGGAGTTGATAGATATTTTAAAAATTTTAAAGCATTAACAAATAAAAAAAAACAAGGATAGCCGTTTACAGAATTTCCGACCATAATCTTTAAAAAAATAACCCAAAAAAAGTTTTTTTTTTCAAATTAGTATCATATTAGAACTAAGGCATATTCGACAGTCATAGTAAACTAGGCCCATTGGAAAACAGTTTCTGTAGAATTATCACAAGGAATACGAAGAAAAAATCGTAAGAAAAATTGAAATTTTTTTGAGTTTTTGGAATTTTTGAAGTTTTTGATTTCTGAAATGGCGCTAAACAACTCAAAAAACTAACTGAAATTTCCAATTTTTAAGTTTTCACGGTCTAAATTGAGCTTATTTAAGCTATTTCAAGCCTGCACCCTCAATTATTAGCTCATAAATGTACTAACACCCAAAAACTTAAAACTGGTTTATCTCAACATTGAGGGGAAATTTAGAAAAAAATTAAATTTCATTCGAATAACAACTAAAAGGGCTTTGTTTTTATATGTCACTCGACCCGATCTGATGATTATTTGTGGTGCATTATTTTGCGTGGAAAACAAAAAGAAAGAAAAAGAAAAAACTGAAACACAATTTTCAAACCTCCTTAATATTTGGAAAAATCTTTCCACGAGGAATAGCATTTGAGCTCAAGTTATTGATTTTTTTTCGCATGGTGAAAACGCTGCAAGTAGTTGAATTTTTTAATCCAAATATTCGTCAGTTTCTTCGAAATACGAGCAGAATGCAATATTTTGATTTTGGGAAATGATGGAACTCGGTTTTCTATGATTAGTCATATGGCTTAGCAAAATTTTACGGTGCTTGGTTTTAAAATATGTGCTACACTTTGCACGATTGTGAATCAGCCAAATTGATTATCCTCGTATTTAGATGGCTAAAGCGACGCTTATCGTGCCCATTGGAGCAATGCTTACAATTTGCCATCCTGCATAACAGGTGTAGATAGCACTTGATTTAACTTCAACGAAACTATAATCATAGCACCAATCAGCAGTACCACAGTATTTTTTTTTCATCAAACACTCAGTTGAAAGTGCGTTTGTTTGCTTTAGAGATCCTCGTGCTGTGATTGGTCAAGCGCCAATGGATGTTACGAATACAACCGGAGTTTCATCGGCAGAAAACACTGCTGATCAACAGGCGCAGAAACAACCCATGCCAGGTATGCGATTAGCTTCACAACTCGATAATAGCAAAGTTAGTAACTCGTGTACATTGAGAAATAATTTCTCTATTTTCCTTTGCTTCCGTGGCTTTCGAAAAATAAACATTTGAAAAATCATTATTTTGAACTCATCATCGTTTCAAATCTCAGTTCAAATATTCATATATATTTTCAATTTTGTGTTTTAACTGGGTAGATATAGAGGGGGGTCGATGCCCCTCCCCGCAGCAATTGGAATCTCATCGTCACATGCGTTTTCCTTTTGCCACATTTTTTTTCGAGAGCAGTGTTGGTCAATCAACCCAGTATGTTCTAATATCGAGGGAATTCATGAGAAAACATGAGGGGGATTACGGATGCATGCATTGGAGTCAAAAACTTCCGTCAACTGTCGTAAAGCATCACGAATTTGCTTGCGCCACAATAATGGCTCTTTTAGTAATTTAGGAGAGTTCGCACAACTAATTTGGTCGACTTGAGAAATTTTAAATTGAGCCAATACAAAAATCCCAGATCCATTCTTATGTTATTTGATAAAAAAACACCCATTTTATATGTTGCAGCGCCTCGTAAGTTACGACGAATTTTCATATAAATTATGTTTACTCACTAAGTGTTTGAACTAGGGGTTGATAGATGACGTTTAATTATTTAAGTAACATTGATATCCTAACTTTTTTACTTGGTTGCTATGCTTAGTACATCAGGGATGTCGTTAATTGAGTTAAAGGCATTTGTAACTACAATAATGGTCACATTCATTAACATTATGGCAAAAGAACTCTACTTTTCCTTTGCTGAGTTTTTGGTCGTAAAAATAATCTTGATTAAAGAAAAACAATGATTCACGCCTAAATATACATTTCGTGCCGAATTTTAGCGCAGCGGAAGGATCTGCTTAGCAATCATCTCCCCTTTCAAGAAAAGAAGGGGTTCTTAAGTAGATCAAGTTAGAGAATTTCGAACAATCAGAGTGCTGCAAAATTAAGATTTCTCAATACAAAACTCTAGTGCTACTTTACAGTACTTTTTTATTGGAGTGGAGGTTCTTCAGTAGATACTGTTGATAGGAGGGAGAGATTTTTAAGTAGATCCCAGCGGAACAAGGCGTTCAAAACTTCATACCAATTTTCGTCTTTTGATTTTCGGCCGAAGCAGCATGGAAAATTGTCGTTTCAATTGTCTGTATATTCAATTTCCTAGCCCCTATCATCAGTAGCTGCAAGTGGCGTGAACTAAATATGCGTACAGTAACTCATTTTTAAGTTATTTTATTTTAGAAGAAGGAGGTTTGTGAATCAAAATGAGTACAAGTTTGATTTTATTACTCCCTGCATAGCGTAGTTGTTGCAATTGCATTTAGCTACATTTTAGTTTACTTCATCCTAATTTCATCTACCTAAATGGCTGAACTGCCGAGAAATCAGGCTTGTAAAATAGGAAGGCTAGTTGAGGTAAACAGGAAAGAGTAATGATCATTGATACCAGAGCAAATTACAGTTTTTTTATGGAAAATGTTTTTGAGAACGTTGAGCTATTTGCATAACTGTAAATGTCAATTTTGAATAAAAATAGGTAGATGAAATGCTGAAACGTCCATTGTGTTGCTTGATGAAATGATATTTATTTCTCGTTGTAATGGGGATTGACTTCCCTTATTCCCTGATACCAGAATCAAAAAGCCTGAAAACGAGATAGCGAAATGCCAATATTGAGATTTAAAAATGGCAAAAAGCTGTGTTCAAGCTTAGCTGCGACGGGATATACAGGTATCAGAATGGTTGCATAATAACACCATCGAATCTTAATAACACCGAGTAGTTTTTCCGATGCAAAAGACGCATTGCCAGACGAACATATCATTTACACAATACATGCATGCAAATGCGACAATCGAGGACCTAAATAGCAAGTTTTCATGTCTCGGCATTAAGAATAGACCGATTTCAATTCTGGATCTACCAGAACTTTTTCATTCGATACGTCTGAATCTAATCTCAAATCGGCTGTTAAAGATTTTTGCCGTTTTTGCATGTGAATATTAAGTTCAAAGTCACCTCTGTATCTGAAACTGCTACTCATTTTGAAAATAGGGCAGCCCCAATTCCGAAAAAATGACACTGTGTTAATATGGAGAAATAATATTTTCACTTGCTATAGTAAGTGACATGAAATCGGAACTAACTACAATGTTTTCAACTTAAACAATTTTTCTTACAGGCGACAGGTATTGGGTTTGATTCCCGGCCGGACCTTGTTTTCTTCTTCGCCATGAATGGATGTTTACCTTGCTCAATTATTGCACCTCGTTCCCTTTTAAGTCCCTCTCACTTGGTCCAAAATTAAAGCAGACGTCTTCGCAACATAGGGATAAGGGGGGGGGGGTCGAGTCTCGGCCGGAGCGTGTGTTTTTCGATGCGGAAACTTTTTTTGAAAAGTTGAATAGTTTGACCCTTATTTGTCTACTTAATTCTTGTAGATTTACTGACCAAAGCATGGAGTTTTTTTTTCTTCAAAGGATCAAATTTTTTGGCAATTTTAATTATAATTACCCCTGCGATAAGCAAGGGTATTGCAGTCGGGTGTTGGATTTTTTACCGTACATAATTTTAGGCACATAATGGTCAAATGTATAGGAATCGTCAAATGTAGCAATGTCTTTAAAAATTCAAATGAAACTACCTTTAATTTGGTAGGAAATAGGCGTAGTCCGTTTCCGGTGTTTGTTTGTTTTGAAACAGTTTTCTTGAAAAAGTGATTTTTTTTTTCAGATTTGTGGTTTCAGGCCTAGTTTCCGTCGGTTCATTTCCCGTTATGTTAATTGACATTTGTTTTATTTGGGACTGTTTTTTTCGGCTTTTTTTGTGAAGCGTGGATTTTAATTTGAATTTTTTTTACTCTTGTTGGAAGTTTGTAACTAGTCGTTTTACCGATTCTGATTTTCCAAAATTTTGTTTTTTATTAGTAGACTTTTTCGGGTTAACAACTATTTTAACAAAATCAGTTGAATCATTTGTTGAATTACAGTTAAATCACAGCTTACATGCTCAATTTCGTGAAAATTTAAAATTAACTACTGATACTAGTTAATACAGAATGATTTCAGGGAGGGTTTGAAACTTCAAAAGTTTTTTTATTACAGAATCAGTTTTTTTTTCGGCACAACTGATGTCTGCTTAAATAATGTCGGCCTTGTTTCCGCTTCGTTAGTTTTGTTCAGTTGGGAATTTGAATTTCAAATGTATTGTTTGGCAGGTTTGCCTTGAATTCTTGTTTGATAAAAACAGTTACTAAGAAATTGTATAATATTGAGTTTTTTATGTTATTTTTGAGACGCTTTGAAAAAATTTTATCATTTTTTGCAAAAAAAAATTGTTTTTTTTTTCTAAAATCTGTCCACCTAATTTCAAAAAAGGATATCCATAGAAAGACCGCCTACATTCTTGTTTGCCTGCCCACGCCCCTCTCGGGTCTCTTTTTGCTTCATACCTTTGTCTACAGCCTCCGAAAAAGTCTGTGGGGGGAATATTTGACCGATGTTTTTGATTTTTTTGTTTTCTCAAAAACTAATCTACCAAATCCGAGGTTTCAGTTTCAATGAATAGAACCGAGTTGAAAAGCTCCCCTCCACAAGTGCCGACGACCATATTTTTTACACTTAAAATTATGGCCCTCGGATTAGTCAATTTTTTTACCATGTTTTGAATCGTTTTTAAAATTTTCTCGAAAACTAACCTGAGGTGGTGAGTAGCTTCTCGGCATGAGCGGCCACTCACAATTCTCTTATGCAAAATTTATTCTCATTTTTTTTCAGCTCCGCTTTGCCTCTGTGTTGAAAGTCATTCTGTGGTCTGTAATTTTACCAATTTTGATTTTGAATAGTTAAATGCTTTTTTTTGCTTGAATAGGTTTGGATTTTGCTATATCGACTTGGTTGCCTCAATTTGCGTCGGTTAAAATTCAAAATGGATAGTGATGTTTTTGTATGTTTCAGAGACTAGAGCGTAAATCTGAAAGTGTTTTTGCTCAAATATTCAAAGTGTTTTTGCTCAAATATTTCTCTGGCATCAGTTTGTTTTCGTCTCAACTGGCGGCTACCCGAGTATTGTCGGTTTAGTTGCCGCTCGGTAAAGGGTCTTGAAAACTTATGTAATGAAGGTTTTTGTTTTGCTTGTCATAAGTTCCTCAAATTGAAGATCACACAGAGTAATTTTGTTAACTATTTTTTTCGAGTTTTTAAAAAAAACTCTGCTAATTGCCAAAGCTATGTTTGTGTTGTATCGCAAGCTGTTCGCCTCTGTGTTGAAAATTTTTAATTTCTTAAATCTTATGACGTGATCGTTGGTAACATATGTATATGATTTCGATGATGATCGGTTTGGTTTGAACACTTTCATGAGGGTGTCCCTCTTCATGATAGAAGGACCAAATGACAGGAATCTATTTTAAGCCAATCAAATATGAAAATAGCACCCCTTCTATCATGAGAAGAATTCCCATCTTCATGTTTGCACAAGTAGATCCTAATGGACATGAGTAATTGATATTGGAAATAAGTGTTTGTTTTATTTTCAGTTTCATTCGAAGATAAAAGGAGACAGAATTTCGACTTGGGCGAACAGGCTCTGGAACGAAAAAGGCAGGCATTATTGGAACAACAGAGAAGAGAAAAGGTTTGTGAAATCTATATTATGTCAATTGTGTTTTTTCATTAGATGAGGAAACCAATTTATTCTGTTATTATGTTTTTTGGGAACGGAAAGTTTTCTACGAACTTTATTTCGTCGGGGTCAGGAGCGAGGCAGTAAATCAATTACGAGCATTGAAGAGAGCTCGCTTTGCTCTCAAAACCTCTTTTTCTCCGGCAAAGTCCAAATTCTTTTTGTCCGGCAATTTTCAAGCAGATTCGCCTTAAAATTGCAAGAATGTTCAATTGCGTTTCCGTGTTAATTCCTCACTGTTTAGACCCTGTGAACTGTAAACATGAGGATAAGCTATAACTTTTTTTAAAAATGTTTTTGTCGCTATCTTTTTTTTTAATTCAACTTGCTTTTATTCCATAAAAACTTCTCAGTTGGTTTTTGAATTTTTTAAGTCTATATTTTTGATAGATCAATGGTAAAGCCAGGTTCTGAAGTTGAAGCGCTTCCTGTTTTGAAGTGTAGCAATGATCTCAGTTTGAGTGCTGAGAAAAGTTTCAGTACAATCAAATTTCTTGGGGCTCTGATACAAAATGAAGTATTTTAAAATCATTTGAATCTAATAGTGAGTCTCTGGCTTACTGAGTCTGGAGGTAGTGGTGAATACGCGTGAGACAGCAAAGGTCCTGGGTTCAGATCTGAGCAGGACCTGTATTCTTTCAAACAGGAAATATTCCGTTGCAAAAAAATTGTCTGCCTTTGGTTTATCGGCTTAGTTGCCACATCTTAGAATTTTTTCTACCTTATACAGTTTTCATTGTAGATGTTTTTTAAGTTTTCAATCACTCCTGCAATTTTAATTCCACTAACCTTGACTTCGTATATATTTTTTTTACTTCTTTTTTCACTTAAATTTTTTTTGGCTGAAATGGCCTCAATGATTTCAGCTTATATTTTATCGGCTTATTAACCTTTTTTTTGGTCGTTTGAGGGAGCTAATTTTGCATGCTTTCCGTCATGATTGCAAGAAAGGTTAAAAATCTTAGAATACAATTTATAGTCCAAAAATTTTCATGATAACAATTTTATTTGCGCTCGATAGTTGTTTTTGAGTTTTCATTAAACACTATCGAATGTGTTTTTGGACGTGTTTGCCGCAGATAAAACATCATCCCAGACAAGATTTCGAAGTTTTTCGTAGTTGTGGTTTCTCCGACAATGTTTCCGTTTTCTCTGGACTTGGTGGCTCTCCTTTCCTGTGCTAGCTTGCAATGCTGTTTTTGTGGTATTGCTTCGCCTCTGTCTTTAAATTGAATCCTAACATCTTTCAGGCGTCTTCCCAATTAGTCTAGGGGTAATTCCGTCGCCTGCGCATCCTACGGTCTGGGGTTCGCATCTCGGTCGGAATTTTTTTTGTCAGTTTGTATGCAATTGAAAAAAAGTTCGATTAAAATTGAGTTGTCGAACTTTCGTTTGTCTGCTCAAGTTTTGTCAGCCAAGTTTCCACATCACAGATTTTGGTTTTGCTGTAAGTAACTTTCATTGCAAGTGCAAGTGTGGTTCTTTGTAGTATCACTATTAGAAGTATTGTTCATTTTTTTGGCTCAACTGGTGTCTGCTCAAAGATAGTCGGCTTAGTTGATATATTACTGATTTTTCTGGTGCTCCTAGCAACTTTCATTGTAGTTGCAAGTGCAAGCGTTGCTTATTATAGTTTTAGGTTGCTTTAAAGCTTGAATATATAATCAAATTTTTTTCATATTAACTTGTGTCTGCTCTAAGATTGTCGACTTTGTTGATTCTTTGTAAGTTTTGATCCGTTGCTAATTTAATATTCAAATTTCTGGGATTTGTGCCTGAATTGAATTTCTGTGGAGGCATGTCGAGAAGTTTAAAATTTTTATAGACCGATTTTTAGAAATTTAGAAAAACTTGTTATTCATGCCAGTTGGAAAAAGGGCTCTTTTCCAGTTCCCTCCCTTCAAATTCAATTTTGAAAATGTTATTTAACGTTGTCATAATGCATTGAAATTTGGCACGGTGAACAAACAAACAACTGTGAACAGATTTGTTCTTCATACTTTACATCGTAACATCACGCATTTAGCCATAATAACATGTAAAACAAACATAAAACTCGGTATTTTGAAAAGGGGGGACTGGAAAAGAGCTGAAAAAGTTACGTTTTTATACCATTAGCGATTAATTGCATTTGGGAAGTCTTGGTTAAGTTTTTTATACATTATTTTGAGTGTCAATGAACGAAAAGTAGACATTTCTTTAGGTCATACGTTTTTTCAGGAAAAAGTTAAAAGTTGCTTGCGCTCAATTTTTTTTTTCGTGGTTTGACTTCTAGTTTTAGATTCAGTTCGAGCCTCTTTGGCAATTTGAAGACAAAGTACGCTCTCGAATACCAACAGAGCAAATAGACCAAAAACACTTGATAAACTTAGGGTTTGTTTAAATTTGGGTTTTGATTTTTAGAAAATAACCGATTGATTAAGTTTTTCTTTCTAATAACCGATTGTGTAGTTTTGCTTTAACGTGAAATAAGTTTTCACTTCAAAACTGGATTGTTGAAAAATGTTTATTACTCTAAGTCAAATGTTATTTTTGGTGTGCTTGATTTTTCAACTGCCTCCTGTTGGATGAAAATTTTTTGACATCTCAAAACCTACATAGGAAATGGGAAGATATATTGATTTTCTGGAAAAAGTTAGATTGCTCATGCAAACGAGAATACTTCTTTTTTAGTTCAGCTAGAAAAACTTGTTCATTATGGGTTTGAAATAATAAAACAAGCAAATTACAAGCAAGCTATTTAAAAAATCGGAATAATTTGTAGGAAGAAAGAATGGAAAAGGAGCGTCAAGAGGAAGAGCGCCGAGCTCGCGAGCGAGCTGAACAAGAACGAAAGCGTGCTGAACAAATAGCCGAGCAGCAGCGTCGTTTGGACGAGGCACGAAAAGAGGCCGAAGCGAAAGCTCAAGCCGAACACGACAGACGAATCGCTCTCAGTCTGGAGTCTCGGATCGCTTCGGCTCGAAATCAAATGACGCATTTGCGAAGTCAGAATAGTCAAATGGACAGTGACATTCAAGTATTGGCGTCAAAGAAAAGGTCACTAGACCAGCAGATGGAGGAAACAAGGAATAGTGAGAATATGGTGAGGAATTCACTGAATGAAAAGAATCAGAAATACGCTGAGAGACGGAAAGACTTGGAGAAGCTGCAGTTACAATTACAGGTAGAAAACATATTCTGTCTCATTTTTCTGGTGGTCATTCAAAAAGGGACTTCTTTTTTGGTTGAATTCGTTTAAGATGTTTATAAAAACTTCTCAGTGCGGATCATAAGTTAACCGATGTAGTATTTGGGATATATTTTGAACAAATGTATCGAAGAAGCTCTTAGCTTTTTAATGGTCACATAACTCCATAACTTGTTTATAGTATCTGAAATGGGGGCTGGCTATAAATGAATCTCGATTTCAGGAGTTTCAGAGAAATCTGAAAACGTACTCGGATAAAAAGATGTCAATCGCTGACCAACTCAAGCAGCAGGCACTCCGCAATCCAATTGGTGAGTTTGAATTGGTGTTGTAATATCATTTTCCAGTGTACTAACGCTTGTTCATTATGTTTGCTACGTGTGATGTTAATTTGGTTTGTTTTTGCAGAAGAGGCTCAATATGCAGGTTTGGCATGAATCTCGTCGTATGTTGCATCTCTAGCTTAAATGCAGTTTAAAGAGCAGACAAGCGAACAATAGAAAAATGTATGATAGAAATGAAGGATAACTTCCCAAATGGCATAAAAATGTAGTTTTTCCAAAGTTGAATAAGTTTCTAGGTTTCATTGAAACTCAAACGATTTCGATCAACGGATGTTTCTCTTTTTTTATCTGAAATGAGAACATGTGAACAAGTTTCGGATTTCATTCCTTCCAAACAAATATTGAGTGATTTTTGCTTGGAAAATTATTAACAAGCTTATGATTTTGATAACAATTCTTAAGACTGTTCTTAAGATGAAATATTAATCAACATTTATATTGATAACTTTACTAGTTTTCATATATTTTTTACTGTTCACAAAAAATTGCGCACCAAATTTTTTCAGCGCAATTGTTGCATGGAGTTTGTGCCATTAGGCAAACTTTCTATTTTTATGCCATTTGAGACGTATGAAGTAATGAAGTAAAGAGTTTCTGAGCTGAATCAATGTCGTTAACATAACCCTTAGCCTGAAATCAATTGAACCGAGTCGAGCGCAAACATGAAAAATTAGCGTAATCGGGCAAGATATTTTTGTTTTAGTTTGGCGATATTTTTTTACCGTAAAGGAAGTTCTATATTTGCACAAAAAGATTTCGTCTCTTGTACTAGTTGTAAAACAGCATGCGTGAAGAATTCTTCGCAAATAAACTTACCTCTATAAAAGGTATGTACTTGCATCTATAAACTTCAGTAATTGTGTGATTATTTTTCAGCGGAACGACATTCGCAGGCTATGGCTTCGTTGGAGGCGGAAAAGCGAAAAGTGTCTAATCTGAAACAGCAGATCACAACTGCTGAAAAAGAGACAGCTGCAAAGTTCCACAAGATAGACCTGCTGAACTCACAGATTAACGAATGCAAGGCTCTTTTGGCAAAGGGAGCGACGCAGAATAACATAAACAGCATAGTCGCTAACCAAACGACCAAGCCGTCAACGTGAGTTTAAGTTTGCAGTTTTGATCACAACAAAGTGTCGGCTAAATATATAAGCAGCCCTTATTTTATTACCTTTCCTTGCGGCTGGCAAATTTAACGCAACCGGGTGCAAGGCTTTTTCCCCGTTATCAACTTAGCTGACAGCAACCATCAGCTTACTTTAACAAGTAGCACAGAATGTTCCGACCACAGTCTTTAGAACAATACAAAAATGTTTTCTCAAATTATTGTCTTTTTCCTGCTTGTTGTGATGAAAAAATCTGAAGGAAAAAATAGAACTTGAGAATCATAGTAAAATAGGTCAATTGGAAAACAGTTTTTAAAGAAAAATGACTAGAAAAACTAAAAAAAAAAATCCCAAAATTGCGCTAAAAAACTCCAAAAACTACCTTTTCTTCAGTAAAACTAAATTTTCACGGCTTAAATGAAGCTTAAATAAGCTATTGAAATTACTAAGTACCTTACTAATTAGCTCGAAATTAGACCAAAAATCAAAAATTTCAAACAGGTATTTCTCGACACTGAAAAATTTTTTGAAATTTTTTTGTTCGAATCACGACTGAAAGGGCTTTAATATGATATATCACTCAACCCTGTCCGATTATTTTTTGTGGTAGCTGATTTTGCGTGGAAAACAAAAAAACTAAAACACGAATCCAAAGTTCCTCGCCATTTTCAATGGTCGGAACAATAACATATCAATTTCCTGCTGCCAGTTTTGCTCATTTTACGCAGTGGCTACGCACATATGCTCATGCTTGAAACGAAAAAATTGCGATGTTAACCTGCGGAAAGTAGCTGCACTTTTTTTATAAGTTAAAAGTATGTCAGTGGAAAAATTTAAATGTCCGACTATTGTTTGTTTGCGGATTTTTTTGTTCGCTGATTTTCTAGAGTCTGGACTTTTCTTCCGATTTAAGCAATTTTCGGTATAATTGATTGCACTTGTGTGCTTTGGAAGAACATTAAGACTGAGTTCAAATTTTTTTATGACTAAAATTTTGTCGGATCATTGTGTGGCTGCCCAACTATTAAAGGCTTATTTATCGCTTGATAAATTGTTTGAATGCTAATTTAAAGCTGGAAATTGCGTTTTTTTGCTGTTGTACATTGCATATGTTTTTTAGGCAAGTCTCGCGATTATTTATGGAGCAACAGTTTACTTTTCGATCTTCCAGTTTCCGAATTTTTCTTTGTCTTCAAAATTATATTTTTCTTGTGTAGTTGCTTTTTCTGTTTTATAAATTTATTTGGCGTATTTTCATTTCGGAGTTATTTTTTTTTTGGTTTCATTTGCGAAATTTTTCACAAGCGTCGAACGCTAAGTTTGATTAAAGCTGGCAATTCAACAACTGTAAAACACCAAATTTTCAATCGGAAGCACATCGAGAAATAGTGGCCAACACGGTATTTATGCGATAATTTATGAAGCGTAGTTGATGGACGTAGTTCAGACTCTTGTATATATATAGGTCGTGATGATTTTTTCCAGGAAAAGTCTCAAAGTTGTTCAGCTTCAAAGTAACTTTTTCGCGGTTTGACTTATGATTTCTTTTTGAGTTCAATTCATTTCCTTTGTTGAAAGGATGGCAAATTCCACTATAGAACCGAAAAAATGAAGAGGTCACGAAAAACGTGATCAACTCCTAGTTTAGAAAGTCAAATTTAATTTACAGATTCCGTAGTGGAATAAAAAATTTACCCATGGATAAAGTTTTTTCAAATTGGGTTAATTTCATCACAAAAGGTACATCAACATTTGCTCGAGAAATGTATAGAGCTACGATCTATATATTTTTTTCGAAAGTTGAGATTTTAAAAAAAGTCATTGCTTGCGTTCATTGACTCTTTTCCAATTGTCCGATGGCTGCGTTTCCATTTTTACGTGGAGTGTTTTGTTTTGAGCTTTTTTACGCAAGCATATTTGCTCAATTCTGTGATCCATTTCTCTGTACATGCAGTTTTTATAAATTTTGAATAGCAATTGATATATCCGTTTAAATGCATGCTTGTCTTCTTGTTTTTAAGAGAAATTAGCGTTGTTTTTTAAGGAGCAAATCTTAAAACTCGTTCACGCTCAATTTTGATTTTTCGCGGTTTGACTTCAGATTTCTTTTCAAGTTCACTTCATTTCCTTTGTTGAAGGAAAGCAAACTCCACTATCGAGCAGTAAACAAGTAAAGGTCAATATGACAAGGGGTTTTATTGTTAGTGTTGTATCTCGTGAACTATTGGGCGTAATCTATTCAATTAAGTGTGGCGGTGTTCTGTTTGATTCAGCTACATAAAGCTACTTGATAAAGCACCAGATAAGGACGTGTTTATGATAAAATAATGACAGCAAATAATTGTAAGGTTAAAAGGGACAGATAGCTTTGAGGTTATATGAGTAATGATGGCTATAGGCCGTCACAATCAAGAAAAATGTGATCGACTTCTAATTTCGAAACTTGATTTTAATTATCAGATTTTCCAGCAAAATAAAAATTTTACCTAATAATCCAGTTTTTTTTTTTCAAATTGGGTTATTTTTTATCAAAAAAGCACTAATCATAATTTGTTCATGAAATTCAAAGAGCTTTACAGGCATGTTTTTTTTGCACGAGCGAACTTGAGTGAGCGTTAGTGTTATACTACGACTATTCTTTTTTTCGCGGTTTGACTTCAGATTTCTTTTCAAGTTAGTTCACTTCATTTCCTTTGTTGAAGGAAAGCAAACTCCACTATCGAGCAGTAAACAAGTAAAGGTCAATATGACAAGGGGTTTTATTGTTAGTGTTGTATCTCGTGAACTATTGGGTGTAATCTATTCAATTAAGTGTGGCGGTGTTCTGTTTGATTCAGCTACATAAAGCTAGTTGATAAAGCACCAGATAAGGACGTGTTTATGATAAAATAATGACAGCAAATAATTGGAAGGTTAAAAGGGACAGATAGCTTTGAGGTTATATGAATAAAGATGGCTATAGGCCGTCACAATCAAGAAAAATGTGATCGACTTCTAATTTCCAAACTTGATTTTAATTATCAGATTTCCCAGCGAAATAAAAATTTTACCTAATAATCCAGTTTTTTTTCCAAATTGGGTTACTTTTTTGTCATAAAAGCACTAATCATAATTTGTTCATGAAATTCAAAGAGTTTTACAGGCATATATTTTTTTGCACCAGCGAACTTGAGTGAGCGTTAGTGTTATAGTACGACTATTCTTTTTTTCTAACCTAGGTCGCAATTATTGGTTCCAGTTTTGGAGCAAATTTACGTTTTTCTGACAGCATGTGCATTGTCCTTCGAAAAGTAATAAATTAACACATTAATACATATTAAATTCATCGAATGAACCGAAAAAGGCTATTTGTTTCAAACAACATAATCGTAAAAACTCGATTTCAGAAATTTTTAAACTCAATATATCTCGCATTTTTTGAAATGCATAGTTTATACGTAATGTTGCTTTATACTTTCCGATTTAATACATGCAAAATTAGTGTAGATGTCTTCAGTTTGTTATGTTCCAAACTATTACTTGCAAAATTGTGTCTATTTGTATTTGGTGCCACTTTTGCTACCTCGCATTGTAAATTTGGCAGCATATCTAGCTGCTTTATTTGTGACTAGTGTTTGCTGGTTGTTAAGCTTTGTTGCCGAGAAGGCAGGGCGTGAGACTTTAATTCTCGAGGTCGCAGGTTCGAAGCCCATACGTTTTTTTTCAAATCGAGGCTGAAATTTTTTTTTGTGTTTCACAATCGAACGTCATAACAGTAAAAAAAAAGAAAGTAATCATAAGTTTTTCTAAAATTTCGAAGAACTTTAAGGGTTTTTTCTTATTTCGTTAGGGTTAAGATCAGTTATTTAAGCTTATTTCGTTTCCTTCGTTAGGTCTAGTTGCGATAGTTGAATTTAATTTCCAGATTTTTCAGAGAAACATATTATTCAACTATTGATCCAGTAGTTTAAACAGCTGTAAGGAGATCAATTTTTTTGTCTTTGAAATTCGAATATTGAGATATTTTGAAATATTAGGTCAGTATTTTTTTCTGTTTATTTGCGTCTACTCACTGTTTTCCAACTGTCGCTTGGCTCTGTATTTTCTTCTTCGGAATTCAATCATAAGTGCAATTTAGTTCATTTTTTGAAGGTTTTTTCATTTTGGTTGATTGAATGTTGAATGTACGATTTTTCAAGATATTTTTTTTAGGATATTTTAAGTGGAAAGGGCACAAAAACACGTTCGACTTTTATTTTTGAAGTGTTTTTCCTTTTTGAAAAAAATTCTCCGGAGAAATGACAATCTCGGGAGAAATGAGTAAAATCTCGATTTCAGAAATTTTCCTGCTCGAAATATCTTTGCAATTTTCCTACTCGCAATTTTTTGAAATGTATAATTTATACATATTGCGTCTTCATGCTTTCCAATTTATGTTATGCAAAATTAGTGTGGATGTCTTCAGTTTGTTATGTTCCAAACTATTACTTGCAAAATTGTGTCTATTTGTATTTGGTGCCACTTTTGCTACCTCGAATTGTTAATTTAGCAGCATATGTAGCTGCTTTATTTGTGACTATTGTTTGCTGGTTGTTAAGCGTTGTTGTCGAGAAGGCAGGGCGCGAGACTCCAATTCTCGAGGGCTAAGGTTCGAAGCCCATACGTAGCAAAGTTTTTTTTTTAAATCGAGGCTGAATTTTTTTTTTGGATTTCACTTTATAAAGCTGCTTTTTTGTCGAGTTGTTGCTATTGTATGCGAAGCGCATCTTCGCCTCTGTGATAAAATTGAAAATTGAAGTTTTTTCGGAAATCAAATGTTTTTTTTTGTTTTTTCGGTCATTAGTCTTTTTCAACTGTCAGTTGGCTAGGTTTAAAGTTAACACTGATAGCTCAAGGGAGTGGTTGAGACAAGGCGCTCCTAATCAGTAGTCTTCTAATCAGTATTTTTAAATTTGTAGGTCCGAAGTTTTTCTCAAGGTTTGATGTTTCTCAGTTTTGTTGTAATATTCTATTGATATTTCAGAGCTGCTTTTATCGTGATTTTATGAAGCAATTTTTACATTTCTGTCAAAATTATACGCAATTTTTTCAAAAAGTTTTTTAGTTGCAACTTGAGTACGAGCAAATGAAATTTAAACCTAATTTGCTGAATTCTTCACCCTCTTTGCTTGATAAAAACTGTAGCTAACATATTAAATGGTGTCTCCATGTGCATAATCAAATATCTGTGTTTGTTAGCCGTTTTGTTTCTCAAGTCGTTTTTTTTCGCATGCGATTAGCAAGCGTTATGAAATCGGAGTATATATATTTTTTCGGATTTACAACTAGTTTAACAAAACCAGTTGAATCACTTGCCGCTCTGCCGCTGACATGCTAAATTTCATGAAGTTTTTATTTAAAGTTCTAGGTGCAATGTTTGGTTTGTTACTGGGTACTTCTTCAGCATTAAATTGATTTTTTGTTGGCTTCATGGATTTCGTTCCAACTTTTGTGGGCTATATCAAATTTTGTATTCCTTTTTCTATTCAATTGTTTTACATGCTTCAAAATGCCTTCTAATGAATTCAAATTTAATCTATCTTCCAGAGCATCTGGTGCAGAGGCAACACATTAGCTTGGGACGACAATGGCGTGGGGTTTTAATCAGCGCCGTGGCATCTTGTTGTATCGCATGTGGTGATGCGAAGCACACCTTTGTGCCTCTGTTTAAAAAAACTTCTTCTTTCAAGATTTTTTTTCAAGATATTTTTTTTTCAGTTTTTTATAGTGAAAATGGCACAAAATTATGTTTGACTTTTGTTTTGAGGTGGGTTGCCTTTTTAAAAAATTCTCTCGAGAAATGGCAAAATATTTCTAATCTTTTCTGAAAGAAGGTTCAATATGAAAAATCTTTTCGTAAAAAAAATATTCAGATTCAGAGTTTCAAGGTGATAATATTTTCTCAATGGAATTTCAAACGTGGAAAAGTTTTCGAAAAATTGCTCCCAAGTTTATTGTTAGTTTTGCTAAATTATATTTGGTTTTTTAAATTTTTTTTTTCAGGTCTGAGTCTGTTTTTGATTTGGAATTTTTTTAGTTTGCTGCTAGCAAGTTTTAGCAAATCATCATTATGTAAAAAACTTGTTAACAGAATCGTTTGATGGCTTGCTTTATAACATTCAAACTGCCCATTGATGACCATGCATGATACTACGGAAATTGCGAGTTTGAATCCGGCCAGGGCTTTTTCTTTTGGTTTACTAAAAGTTTTCGGCTTGAAAAATAATTGTCTGCCTATCGTTTTTTTATTTTTTTTGTTGAACTAGTCGCTACAGAGAGGGCTTTTCTGCTAACTGAAGCCATTTTGAGTATAATTATGATGTATGATAATTATGAGTATATAATGAAAAATTCAAAGGGCTTGAACGGGATATTCAGAGTCGATTAACGTATTTCAATACTCTTATAAAGTCGTGATGATTTTTTCTCAGGAATTTGTTGAAAAATTGTTCAGGCTCAAAATTATTTTTTCGCGGTTTGAATCTTGATTTGTTTTTAGTTTCAGTTACATTACTTTGTTAAAAGGAAGGCAAACTCCACAATCGAATATCATAAAAGTAAAAAAAAACGTGATCGACTGCTAGATTCCAAAGTAGAATTCAATTTTAAGATTTCCCAGCAAAATAAAAATTTAATTTTTGATCCCGTTTTCTCAAATTAGATTTTTTTAATCAAAAAAAAGTGTTAATCATAAGTTTTTATAAAATTTCGAAGAGCTTTAAGGGTTTCTTTCTTTTTTTTTTCTTATTTCGTTAGGGTTAAGATCAGTTTTTTAAGCTTATTGCGTTTCCTTCGTTAGAAGGAAGGCAAACTACACTGTCAAACAGCAAAAGTGAAAGGTCTAGTTGCGATAGTTGAACTTTCAGATTTTTCAGAGAAACAGATTATTTAACTATTGATCCAGTAGTTTAAACAGCTGTAAGGAGATCAATTTTTTTTCTTTGAAATTCGAATATTGAGATTTTTTGAAATATTAGGTCGGTATTTTTTTCTGTTTATTTGCGTCTACTCACTGTTTTCCAACTGTCGTTTGGCTCTGTATTTTCTTCTCGGAATTCAGAAGTTTGAAAAATTTCAGAAGATTTCTCTTTTTTTAGTTATCCTTGTTCTTTGACACTTTTCCAATTGTCTGTTGGCTATGTTTTATTTTTTTCTCTCTGCTTTTCAGGCTAATATTTTCAAATAGAGCCATTTTTTATCCGTGGTTAAGTTCGACTTGTTATCATATTTAAAGGAACTGCGTACCGAAATTTTAGTTAACTTTCCAAATTCAAGAAGATTTTTAATTAACTTATTACATTCCTCTGACTCTGCATATCTTGTATGATTTGGCTCACATTTACGTTGATTTCCGATGCTGTTCCTAATCGATATGTTATATTCTTGTGATCCTGCATATTTCTCAGGCTTTAAAACAAAGTATAATTGCTTCTTTTTCTGCTTTATTTCGGTTGTTTTTCTATCCGTTGTTTCGAACCAATCAAAAATTAGCCATTGTTTCGAACCAGCTTTAAATTTAGTTAAACATTTTTCGGGAATTTTCAACAATTTTATTGTAAAAATTGATTTTGGTTAGTTCTTATTACACTTGCGAGAGCAAGTATCTTGTAATCGGGAACTAGACTTTTCTTCCCGGAAACAACTTTTCTTACACATTTCTCAGAAATTGCGAAGTTGTTTTTATTAGTGAGCCTTATTAACTTCGAGACCTTTTCCCACTAGCCCTAGAGTCAACGCGGATGCCTTAGTACCTCTGGGGTTTGGGTCGAAGTGGACCTTGTTTTTTTCCAGTTTGAATTGAATTGTTGGGCTTTCGTATGTCTGCTTATGTTTTGTCGGCTTAGTTGTCACATTGGGGATCATTTTTTGTGCTTTCATCAAACTTCATCGTACGTGAAGTGTTTTTAGCTGACTTTTGTAATATGTAAACTTTTTACCTTTCTTTGTATATTTTCATTGGTTTTCCTTTTTATTTTTCTTTTGCTTAAACGCTTTATTCGGCCTATATGATTTCCGCTTTTTTATCTGCTCAGTTAGCCTCTTTTGTGTCGCTTTCAAAGCAAAAGTCGATTGATTTTGTTATAAATTCAGGTAGTTTTTGTTGCAAGATTTTAAAACTTATTTGCTCAAAATTTTTTATGACAACAATTTTTGCTGGCATTTTTTCTTGTTTTTGATTTAATTGGCTTCTACCCATTTTTTGTCGACATAGTAGCCGCTTTGTAATTTCTGAAAGATTGGTTAATGTTGGTGGTTGCATTTTTCGACTGTTTCATTTTTCTGCATTGCAACTGGTGCGAAGCTCGATTTTCTAAATAATCCTTTCGCCTTGTTTGAGTTTATCAAATTTGCTTTTATGACTTATTGGGTTGCTAGAGAATGGCTGGATTGTGGGTGCTCTCTAATGTGGAAGTTTTCAACAGTTTTTTAACGTCTGACTCCACTGGCACATATTTTAGTATCGCAAAAGATGCGACGCCTGGCGCCGCCTCTGAGTTTGAAATTTTTGTGAGCTTGTGCATCAGAAGTGCCGAATTGAATATTTTTGTCCATTAATTTCCTAGGTACAGCTGGTATTGGTAAGTTTTCTTCAATCTTTCTTTCGTTATTTTTCCTTTTTTGTTCTTTCTAGACCAAGGTCTTCATTCATTTGGCGCTCTGTTGAAGTTGTATTTGCACCTACAGCGCGGTCAGAAGAAATTGGGAACCAGAGACCAATATCACATTATTGGTTTGCGTAAAAAGCTGAAAAAATGTTGAGCTCGCATTTGAACATCAGTCATTTTACTTGTGATCAAAATTGTTTAGATCATAATTTTTCTCAAATAAATAGGTACAAATCAATCACTGAGCTTTCGAACTGGTTTCCATGCAGTATTCAACCGATCACAAACCATGTATATTTAAAATGAACGAGTTTCAACTAAGAGATGTATTTTTTTAGGCCGGCGAAAGTTGCTGCTTCAACCACAGACAAATACAATGTATTCGCAGACGCATTCAAAGAGGACCCCTTCTCAACTACTTCTCCATTTAATAGCAATTCGAATAGCAGCGACCCCTTCAAACCCAGTTCGGAGGACCCGTTCGGAGGTGCAACGACTGGTACCAATGGAGTCCCAGATGATCCGTTCGGAGCCGGTGCCAATGACCCTTTCAAAAGCAGTACAACAGATCCTTTCGCTTCAAAAGCGTTTAGCAATCAATCAGGTGCTTTTTCTTTTTTTTCCGAGCATCCATTGATGAGAGTGAAAGAACTTTGGATTCGGTCTTGTATTTTTCTTTCACATTTGCAGAAGATCGAAGAGTTTCGGATGTAATTACAAATGTTAGAGCAAGTGTTTTTTAATCGAGGAAATACTTTTTTCCCGCAAACAACTTTTCTTACAAATATCACTTGCTTTTCTAACTTGCTTTTATTTTTGAAACTTCCAGGTTTGTTCCCACTTGTATGTATGAAATTGAATTTTTTTCCGGTTAAAATTGAATTGTGTTATATAAAGAGATATGAAGCTCCGTTTCGCCTATGTGTTTTTTCCTCAGGACATTGGGATATTCATAGGATTTAGGGGGATATGTACTTAAGCACTGGATAACGAATTGATTGACCAACAAAGCTCATAAGCAATCAGCGAAGCTTTGAAAAAACCTCAAAAGGCACACTTAAATTGCACTTAAATGAGTTAAAGTATTTGCAGTACAAGTAGCCAATGAGCTTTGTTGGAGCGCAAAAGTTCCGATTTTGATGGGTCAATCAAAAAGTATAATGTTGCCAACCTGTAGATACCACGTCACCTTTCATTCAACAATCAACTACCAAACCACAGACAGCAGCACCTAGCGAGGTTCTCTTCGAAGCTTTGTACGACTTCACGACGACAGACGAGGGAGATCTCCCGTTCAAAGTGGGCGACATAATCAAGGCATCGGCTGAACAGAATTTAGATGAGCCTTGGCTTGCAGGATTTCTCAATGGAGTGGGCGGGTGGTTTCCACAGAATTACACCAAAAGAATAGAAGATCCTAGGTGAGTCAAAATTCGTAGTTTTGGAAATTTACTTACGCATCATCTGAAGCCTTTTTTTATTGATTGCAACGAGCACTTGTTTTTGTGTCGTATATGGCTAGTTACTGAGACCTTGAATAAAGTTCTTTTGTTTAACATTTGCTATTAACAATTGGTTTGTAACTAGATGTTTCCTGGAAACAATTCTTTTATAAAAACGCTTTATTTTTGTATATTAATGGCATTTGGTATCGTGCCGCAAGTCTTGCGACGCTTCGATTGTGTATAAATAAATCGGTGTGTTGTTAACGACTAGACCACATGGCCTCGAACAAGATTATTGCAAGGGCTTCACATAATTTTCAATGTGAACTACTCTATTAGTATTGAAGCTTTGATTTCTTTTGCAGTTTATTATACTTCGTTGCCATGAGAACAGAGTAGAAGAATCATAAGTGGCCAATTTACTATGCCTATTTGTTTAGTGAAAATTTAGGAATTCCAGAAATGAAGTTTATAGAACTTGGTTCATTTTTTGTCTTTTTTTCCTACTAATAAAACGGTCGTTTTGAGTTCTACATCTATAGCTACCGAATTGAAAGGTCATTCACTAGAAGCACAGTGGATAACGTCCTAATTATTTTTACCCTGGACCTTTTTGACGATTTAATTTTTAAAAACTGTACGATCGGAACTGGCATTCTTAAATTCCTAAATCATGCAGCGACGCTGGTGCAATTTAATAATCATTAAGATTGAATTGACGATATGATGCAATAAATTGATAAGGCTACATCAATACAACATATGTGTGTAGGTAACATATATAAGGTGTAACTGTACCACATTTACATAACATTGCATATCTTTCAACCGGAAGCAGCGCGTCTCTTCAATTATTTCTTTCCGCTCATAGGTCGCTACCCTAATGGGTCCCTTATCCGTGAACTAACTCACAATGAAAATATATATGTCGAAGCAGATGAAGGCTAAGAGAAGAAATAGTATTTCTGCACTCTGAAATAATTGATGGCTGATCCTGGCTTAGTGTATGTAAACTATGAACATGTGTTTGTGATAGTTGAATTAATTTGGTACTTCTTTCTGTACAGACACAGTGGACGATACTAGACACGTATATCTTGGGGGATAGAAAATCAGGGTAAATTGACATTTGAAGGGGAATCGTATGTTTCGCTTTCCGCGTCTGCCAACCTAAAAATTCTATTTCAATTGGGAAACAAAGTATGTATGTATGAAATAATAATATAAATCATTACCAAAAAAGTGAAAAATCTCGTCTCGTTTGATGCGGTTTACATCTTGTTGAAATAAAACAGTACTACAGGTAAGATAAAAATTTGGGTCTCATTGGTTCGAATTCAAATCCAGTCGATTGATAGATACAATCGAACGCAACGTAACAAATAAATTGAAATTAATATTTTTACAATACAAATCGAATTTTTTTTTTGTGCTTTTTGTGCATTTTTTCATGAAGGCTGCAGTGATGTGCTGTGATAGTAGGCTCGTGTCATTTTTCGGCCCTCTGGGTTTTCGATACTATGGTTCGATCCCATTTTCAGATGGTTGGTGTGTGTATGTGTTGAAATATGGTTTTTTCATCTCATTATTGCGCTTTTATTTGAGCTGAGAATTTGTTTAATTCAACGCGATATTGTAAGTACCTGGGCTGTATCTGAATTGAATTGGACCTATTTCCCTTCTGTTATAGCTGCTGGTACATTTCCCCTCTTGTTTCATTGTTAAAGTCATCTCGTGTGATATTTTCTATCTTGCGGATTATTTGTTGAGATTTTCATCACCGCAGCTGAGTTAAAAGTATCGCATTTTCATTCAAGTTTTAATCGAATCTACCTATAACTTAAAGCGTGAGGTGACAATTCGTAACAGGCGACGATTCGTAACAGGCGACAATTGGTAACAGTATATTATGCGGGGAACACTTTTTCACGCGCAGTATTCCTCTCGTGCCTGATGTAAGCGCAGCGGAGCAAGCGTATTCTACTTTCCAATGCCTTGTTACGAATTGCCGCTTGTTACGTATTGTTGGCTGTTACGAATTGTCGCCCTACCAACTTAAGAAACCATCTGCAACGTAAGTCGAGTGTTGTTTGGCTGAAACGTATCACTTGGTCTTCAGATTACGCTACCGTTACCACCCGTACTATATGTAAGTTAAAACATTTCTCTGTTCATCTTTTGTTCACATGTTATAAAGCTTTTTTTGATGAGTCTTCTGTCAAAACGAATTGCCATAATTTATTTAAGAAGCTTATTTATGACATTTTGAATCAAACTGATTTTCATGTAAGCTTCGCAAAATTAAATAATTTAATTGAAGTTGCAGAATTACGAGTCCGTTTTTTTTCAAATCTTAATTTTAGCTGCATGCGAAAGTTCTTAGCCACCAAATAACAAATTTTTCAAATAGACCGCTGATTTCAATGCTATTTTGATGCTAGGATTTGGATCGATCAAATCTGAGAATAAATGAAAAGCCAGATTATAAGCGCCAATAATTGCGTAAACTAATAAATAAGCGCGCGAAATTTTTTTCTAGTTCTACCAGCGCGAATTTGTCTGCAGCTCCGTCACACAAGACCTCAGTCGTGTCCAACTCACCTGCAGATCTGTTTGTCAACAGTGCTAATACAGCACCTTCAGACAACACCGACGCAGACAATAGTACAGGTGAGAAACATGGCTGGAAGTGGCATTGTGGCGCTCCGGTAGTGATGGCGCCCAGCAATCATAGGATTGCTGGATCAAATCGCACGTGCGCTGCAATTTGCAAGGTGAGCTCTTGCAAGTAAAGTCATAGCTTAATGGGTGCTGGTTATATGCGCTCTTGACGATCTAAATAATTAACCTTCGGGTTAGGCCTCCGGGTTGGTTGACTAAAAAAAGTATTTAGCCCATCTCAACCCGAGGTTTTAAAAGTGACTATGTACTTTAGTTGATTACTTAAAAGATTGTTGAACTTGAAAGCTATTGTTAAAGACTGGAAAAAATAGGTCTGTTCTCTTCTCTAGACCAACAGGGTTGGGTTTGTTGATGAACGTAGTTCAGACTCTTATGAAGGTAGTGAAGGTTTTTTTTCAGGAAAAATCTTAAAATGCTATCATAACTACAGAAGTGCGTTCATTACTCTTGCGAGAGTAATTGTCTTACATATTAATGCATTTATGAATACCCTTAGGAAATGGCGCAAAAAATGTAATCGATTTCTTGTTCCGAAAGTGGAATTTGATGTTAAGGTTTCCCAGCGGAATTAAAACTTTACCTAACACTCCAGTTTTATCAATTTGGGTTCATTTTAATTTGATCATAATAGTGCCAATCACAAGAGTTTTAAGGGCATCTACTAGTGTTGATTCTCTTTAAAACTCAAAATTTCACAAGTTCTCTTTACAGAAGTTTTCTCAAAATTGATGAAATAGTGTCAAAATAACTTTTTTTCCAATTGTGTAGTGTGTCGCGTGAGGGCCATCTACCCGTTTGAAGCCACTGCTGAAGGAGACCTTGGCTTCACTGCGGGCGAAGAGATCTCAGTCACTTCCACAGAGGGCGACTGGTGGACAGGATTTCTATCCAGGGACCCCAGCTGCACCAAAGGCATATTCCCTTCTAACTTCGTCGAAGAGATACCCAATGTTAGTGGAATCCAAGATCAGACCTTTTAGGCTTTGTTTTTTTTTCAAAATTTCTTAAAGCATTTTTGGCATGCTTTAAGTGATCACGTCAATTTAAATGCTTTTATAAGCTTATAGTGATATCCGACACCGGAAGCTCGCTTCGGAATTATCCATCTGTCATAGTTGAATCTTTTGATGCAATGATTTCATTCAGTAGATTGCTTACAGCGTTTACATACTGATTTAAGCATGATTAACCTTCTGATAATGTAAAATTAGTAAGTTCATTGAAAATATCCTGTATTCAGTTTTTTTTACACGGCGTGTGGGCTGAAATGTACTGTTTGATTGAAGCCATTCCCGACATCTGCCAATCCGATGGCTTCCGGAGGGCTGACACAGCAACAACCAATCGCGTCCACTCCACAGACCTTGTCTCTTCCGGGGACAGGAGACGCTGGCACAGAGGGTAAAGGGGGAGGTCAGGAGATGGCGAGTGTGATCGCAAATTTCCAGGGAGACAGTCCGGAACAGTTGACCTTGAATGAGGGTCAGGTAGTGATTGTGAAGAAGAAGTTGCCCAGTGGATGGTGGGAGGGACAGATACAGGTATGCAAGAATTGAGCTATTGTCTTTTGTAACTAGAGGCAACCAGTTTTTTTACATGATCTGATCACGCCGTTTAGCTGCAAGTAACTCATTTATAGCCCTTTTGACAGGATCTACTAGTTCAGTGTAGTCACCCAACTTGTTTTAACGAGAGGGGCCTATTGCTGTGCAAGTAGCGTAGAATGTCACGAGTATTTGATCTCGGAGTTTAAAAAAGTAAACTGCAAAAAAATATATTCAGATACAATTAGCGCGAGTACCGTGCAGTAATTAGCACGAGTACCGTGCAGAATCATACTCACGGCAAAGGGCCGACCATGTGATACCAAACTTGACCCCCTAACAAGCATTCTGTAAAGTACCTGGAATTGCTGCCCCCAAAATTTTACCCTACGCCATATTTACTTCGAATATTTACGTGTTGTCGGTCATAACAAAATAATAATAAATTTCATTATACAATAGGTGCGGCGGCATCTGTTGTTAGTCGTTTTACTCATTAAGTTTGTTTTCTTTCTCATAACTTAAAAAACTTTTGTATTTTATTCAGGAAGATTCGGTAAGTTGTTTGAGATGTTTTCCTCTCGTTTTCTTCCGGAGAAGAAATGGAAACTTCAGTAATTTGTGAGAGTTATAAACGTCTTTTTTATAATCCTGTTGAGCTTAATTATTGTCTCAAATTTGATTGAAAACTAAATCAGTAACGTAATTTGTGAAGCTTTATGTATTTTGTCTTGTGTTAGGAAGTCTTGCCCTTTTTTGACCCAATCAGTTTTCATAATCAATTCCAAAACAGATTACAGCTCTATTAAACATTTCACATTTAGTATTTGATTATGGTTATATGTTTACACTAGCAAGCTTAAGTGGGCGTAGTGTAATAGTACGACTATTCTTTTTTCCAACCTAAGTTGCAAATATTAGTGGCACCTGTACGGCTTTTTGATAGCATGTGCTTTGAAATTCGATTAGTAGCCAGTTAAATTAGTTGATGCATTTTCAAATCATCAAATGAACTGAAAAACTATTTGCTGAAAACAACATAACAATAACTAAAACTCAATTTCAGAATTTTTTAAAACTCAATATATCTCATTTAAAAAAAATGATTATTTTATACATAATGTTGCTTTATGCTTTCGAATTTTTTACATGCAAAGTTAGTGTGGATGCGTTTAGTTGGCTGTATTCTAACTTATTACATGCAAAATGGTGTCTATTCGTATTTGGTGCGACTTTTGCTGCATAGCATTGGCAATTTATTAGCATAGGTGGCTGCTTCATTTGTGGCTAGTGTTTGCCGATTGCTAAGCGCTCTTGACCGTTAGGGCTGGACGTGAGACTCCAAATTACGATGCAGCAGGTTCGAATTTGATACATAGCAAAGTTAAACTAATTCGAGGCGTATTGCTATACTTTAAAAAGCTGCTTTTTTGTCGAATTGTCACTAGTGTTTGCGAAGCGCAGCTTCGCTTCTGTGCTCAGTCCTAGTTCGATGAGTTAAAAGGAATGAAGCGTCTGTTTTAAATTACTCTCTATGGTAGGTAGCGTGTTCAGTGATTATGGTTACTAGCATTTTGAGAGAAGTGCGCACCGAAAAAAAAACGGGTTTTTATTTAAATCTTCAAAAGACAAAGATTTTTTCCAGGAAAAAACTGCGAAAAAAAATTATTCCTATCTGTGATTTACTGGGGTTTGAAGAGAGCTGTAAAACATGAAAAATATATTTTTTCAATAGACAAAAGATTTTTTTCTGGAGTTAGTTTTCACAATTAACTACGGCGATCATTTTCATTCATCTGGATTGATAGTTGATTTTACTAGTTCTCTAGTTTATCGTTTGTGCACTTCGTCTTCGTAGTTACGCAGCTTCACGGGTTACACAGCTGCTTTTTTGAATGTTTTTGAAAGTTATATAATCCAAAGTTGAGCTCTGAATTTCGATGTAAGATAACCAAGCGAAGTTGAGAAGTATTCAAGCTTCTTGAAAAAGTGCCAATGAATGAAGCCAAGACACTTATTTAGGTCTTTTTTTGTTTCTTAGCATAAAGTCTAAAAGTTTGTTAGAGCCAAAAATTATCTGTTGACTTCAAGTTTTTTCAAACTGTCATTTGCTAAAGCGAAGGCAAACTACGTTCTCAAATAGCGAAAGTACATATAGTGCGAAAAAACGTGAATGACTTTAGATAGGAAAGTGGGTTTTAAACTCTAGATTTCCTACCGGAATAAAAAAATACACGTTGACACAATTTTCTCATAAAATATTTATGAAATTCAAAAAAACTTTAACGTGATAAAAAAATGTTCAAAAAATTTTTTTTTCGGTTCCCTTGAGTTAGTTCATTGACACTTCTCGAACTGTATGTTGGCTGTTTTCACAGCTTGAGAGACTTGCTCGAAACGGCCTAAGGGTTATTTTAATCAAACTGATAACGATAAGTCTAAACCACAGCACATTCACACCCTTTCATGACTCGTAGCTAACGATTGAATGATATTAACTGATAAAACTCAAATATTCCAATTTTGGTCTGAATTCCGACACCTTGTTATGTGTGCAAATAATATGGCTAATTCAGGGTGAGAAAAGGAAAGGTTGGTTCCCGGGTGACTATGTGCGAGTGATATCATCTGGACTGACTCCGATGCCATCCGCTAATTCGTCGCCAGAGCGAAAAGCTGGTTTGTGTGTTTCATGTGCTAATTTCGATTGTCACTATTAATTTTCACCATCCGCATTTTCATGGTATAGTAGAACGTAAAAGACATTCTGGGTAATACTTTAAGTTTAAAAAATTAGTATATACGTAATCATTTGGCCCTAGCGCATATTTAGTCATCTACAAAAAAAAAACAAATGGATGTTTTTGATTTGAGTAATACTGTTTTTAAGACGATGATCGCGTCAGAGCCGTATACGCATTTTCCGCTGAGCGAGAAGACGAGCTTTCCTTCAATGTCGGTGACGTCATCAGCATAATCTCCCGAGACGATCCTGATTGGTGGAGAGGCGAATTGAGCGGACGAATGGGACTGTTTCCTGCCAATTTTGTATCACCTCTGGGTTCATGAGTGCCGGAAATGTAAATTTTCACACGGACTGATTATTGTAACTACTAGGAACATATTTATGAAGAAGACTTATCTATTGGCGAATGAAATTGTAGTACACTATGAAAGTAGGACAGCCTTGTATTCATTTTTGATACGCAAACAATTGTTTTGATAGCATTGCAGTATGTTAAGTTGTATTTGAAGATAGACGATGTCAGATATTGTTTGGTTATTTGTAAAATTGCTATGCAAGGATAGAGTATAAGAATTAGTTTCACTTCACCTTAGCTTGGCTGCTGCTTTATTTTGGTCATTCGAGTAAATACTTGACTATATATTAAAATTTAATTTAATATAACATTGATTAAAAATTGCTAACTCGTGTATCTTATGCCATTTAAATAAAATTTATATGTTAGACGAATAACTTTATGACTTGTTTCCGTATTCATAAGGAACAGTGTTTATTACCTTTGCGAAAGCAAGAGTATTGCAATCGGGTACTAGATTTTTTTCCCGCAAATAACTCTAGGCACAGATTGGTCAAAAATAGAAATGGTAAATTTAGGTTGTTCTTAATTAATTCTAATTATTTGTCTCCGACACAATTGGTCTGGAGGTAACGAATACGCCTGGGACGGCAAATGTCCTGGGTTCGAATCTGATAGGACGTTCTTTTAAGAGTAATGGACGTACGTAGTGAGTACTCTTATATAGGTCTTGCTGATTTTTTTTTTCAGGAAAAATTCTTAAAATTTGTTCACGCTCAATTTTGATTTTCGCGGTCTGACTTGTGATTTCTTTTTAAGCTCAGTGCATTTCCATTGTTAAAAAAAAAGGCCAGCTCCACTATCGAACAGCAAAATTGTAAAGGTCACTGATTTCGAAAATGGAAATTAATTATCAGATTTCCGAGCGACATACTTACAACTTTGGCTCTTTTTCCTTCCCCCCCCCACCTCACATAAGCGTCATTTTTATGGTGTAACGAGGGGTTTTACAAGGTTAATTATGAAGACCAAAAATGTTTGTCATGGCCTAATTAGTTCGCATGCCAATTTTTGTAACATTCGGATAAAGTGAACAAAACTTCACCAGTAAAATTTTGCAGGTGGGGGGAAAAGGAAAAAGAGCCACAACTTTTACCTATTGATCCAGTTAACTCAAATTGGGTTAATTTCAACTCAAATTGATTTTAAAAGGGCTTTAAGGCCATCTATTTTTTTCGAAATTCAAAAATTGAAAAAAAAATCAGTTTTTTTTTGTTTCCTTGCAGTGATTACTCTATTCCAACTGTTAGTTGGCTATGTTTCTTCAAACAGGAAATATTCCGTTTCACTGTTAAATTGTCGGCTCATTAATTTGTCTTCTTATATTTTGGCGGCTTAGTTGGCATAGTAGTTGGCTTAGTTGCTTTGAAAGTTTTGATTTACCTCCCAATGTTTGTAATTTTACAACCTTGACTTTGTTTTTTTTTCGCTTAAAAACTTCATTCTGCCCAATTGATTTTGGCTTGTTTTTTTATCAGCGTAGTGGCCTAATTTTGATTCGTTTCAAGGAAAACAAAAGTTTAATGCTCTCCTCTGAATCGCATAAAATGCTAAGAATTTTTTTTCGGCTTTTTTGTTTTTTCTTTTCTTTCTTGACTTGATAGGCTTTAGCCTATATTAGATCGGTTTAATGGTCATATTGCGTCTTTCGACGAGCGAAAAAAGTTCGTGTGTGCGTCTTTTGTGTTTTGAGGTTGAAGGGACTTGTTAACTTAAGTATTGTTAATTTTTTCGGCTTAAAGGGTTTCTCCCGAGGTGTTTCTTGGCTACCGTTAGGTAGTTTTTTTCCGATGTTTATCTCGCATTCATTTTCTTAGCATGTTTTTGTTTATTTGAAAACTATCCTTATTTTTTGATAGATATATTTTTTTCAATTTTTTTCTGACTTACTGGTTTTCTTGCCTTGTGCTAAGCTCAGCCTCGCCTCTTTGTTACTCTTTGGATCATTTTGTACAGAAGACCGTTTGCTATAATTGCAACGTGTTCTTGATTGCACTTGCGAGAGCACGTGTCTTGGAAGCGAGAACTAGACTTAATCCTCGTCAAGATTTTTTCTTACAAATGTATAAGAATTTCTAAGTAGCAATGAACGCAGTGAAAAACTTATTAAGGTCGTGTGTTTTTTTAAGAAAAAAGTTTTAAATTTTGACCGCGCTCAGTTTTACTTTTTGCGGTTTGACTTCCACGTTTAACTCAAAATCATTTACGAAAGGAAGCAAAGTACGCTTTTCAATTTCATAGGAAATAGCTTGAAAAAGAGTTAATCACTTCTTGTTTTAAAATAGAATAATCGTTATTAAGAGTCGATACACGTAGTGAAGACTGTCATATAGGTCTTCGTGATTTAAAATTTTCTTTACCAAGAAAAGTCTTAAAAATTGTTCACGCTCAGGTTGTTTTTGCTGGTTGATTTGTGATTTCTTTTCAAGTTCACTTTTTTCGATAAAAACGCAAGCAAACTCCACTATCAAACAGTAAAATTTGTAATCAACTTTAATTCTAAAGTGGATTTTGAATTAAATGTTTACCAATGAAATGAAATTTTTTATCGTTTGATACAATTTTTGCAAATTGTTTTATTTGGAGTTAAAAATGTCAATCATAAACTGTTCTTGAAAATGAAAAAGCTTCATTTTTTGAAGTTCGAGAATTGATTATTTCTTCAATTGGGTTAGGTCTATGAAAAAAAGCTAATTAATTGTTTTATTTTCTTCGAGTGTGTTGAAACTTATTGCGATGGCTACCCTTCTTCTTGACTGAAACTTCTTGTTTTCTACGCAACCTCAGCAAAAACGTTTTATCTGAATGAGTCGAGTGATCAACGCCTCTTCAGTCATTGTTCAAACCACAGTAAAAATTTCTCAATTTTGAGTGAGTGAAACCATCGAGTACTGTTCGTTATGGGAATTTTTTTTAATTAAACTTGTAGGCTGAGAAAACTTGATTTTATTTTAAGAAACTAGATAGGGAATTTTATTTTGCGCTTCCTAGGTTTTGTTAAAATATCATTGCGATTATATAGTTTTCTTATCAGACCTCTCAATAAAAACGACACGTTTATATGGTGACGAAAAAAGCAATCTCTTGGTAGTTTTTTATGAATGTGGTCGGAACACTGCGGTATTTGCCTAGCAAGTGGCTATTCTTGTTTGAATTTTGTTTTCTAGGCTGTTTGCAAAAAGACGGACTCGGTGTAAAATTTCTGTTTTCTAAGTGTAAATGAACAAAATGTTTTTTTAGCAAAACTTTCCTCAGGCTCTTTTTGTGATTTTAACGGTTACTTTTAAAACTTTAGTTCAATTATTTTGTTAAAAAAATGCAAACGTGAAAAGATCACCAAAAAATGAATGAATTTAAGATTAGCTGCATATCATAAAACATTTCTAATTTTCTAAAAGCTTACTGGTAAACTTTTTTCGGATATTGGGAACGTTGAGTTTTTGACTACGTTTTAATTCATGGTTTTTGTTCGCAACAAAGTTTTATGAGCGTTGCGGCAAATTTTTTCAGCACAAATTAAAGATATTTATATTTCAACACAATGAGCTTCTACCCAAACTTTGTCAGTTTAGTTGCTTTTCCGTCTTTTTGATTTCTTTGAGTTGGTTTGATATAAGTCGGACTTGATGCTGGTTTTCTAAATCGAGTTCGTATTTTAATACAAATCAAGACAAGCGAATGAAATTTTGGCAGAACTAGTTCGGTAGAAAAAATTTTTAAAATTGCCCCAATTCTAGGGCTTTGTTGGATAAAGCAAACTCCACGATTGAAAACAAAAAAAGGTCACGAGAAACGTAAATAATTTTTGTTTTTGAAATTGGATTCTAATTTTCTGATATCCCAGCGGAATAAAAGAAATAAAATTTTATCCATAGATCCAGTTTTCTGAAATTGGGTTATTATTAGCAAAAGTGTGCCAAAAATTAATTGTTCACGCAATTTGGAGAGTTTCAAAGCCATATACTTTTTTTCAAGATTCAAAGACTGAAGCTCTTTTACTTTTGCTATAAGCAAGGGTATTGCAATCCGGCATTTGACTTTTTTCCCGTAGTTAACTTTTTTCACCAAATGATAAAGGTTTGGAAAAAATTTGAAATAGTAAATTTACTTGTATGCAGCATAATTATTTTGCTTGTATAGAGCTTGAATAGTAGCCGGTAGTTGCAATTTTTTAATGATTTTTTACGGAAAGTTTTTTGGCTGTTTTTCGGCTTCTTAAATGCACGCTTTAATTCTGTCAGCTTATTTAACTAATTTTTTTTTTAATTTGTTTCCAGTTGTTTTCTGATATCAACTCGGCATGGATAAAGTATGTTAGAAAAATTAAATCACTTCGCAGACGATCTTTGAAAGAAGTTAGAAAAATTTTGAGGAAACTTTTTTTGATTTTTTCGAGGTTTTTTCTCTATTTGCAATCAAGCCTACTACGACATTTTCCAGGATAATTCTTGACCTGCCTGATGCTTTATCATACTTTTCTTGACGAAGATAAGTTAAGTCACGAGTTTATTCGCAATTTGCTGAAATACTTTTCAATGAGTTTTTTTGTCTATTGTTTTTTTTTCTTTAAATGCTTTCCACTGTATATATTTTTCTAGAACATTTTCTCTTAGCAAAAGGCTCGGTCTTAGCAGGCTTCAATTGCTATCAGATCATACGCTACTTCTGAGTCGTTTTAATTCATATTTTTTTTCGTAGTTTTTAGAGGTTTTTGCATTTCAAGTCTAAGCAGGCCTATGTAGTTTAGGTGTTCCGTTTTCAAACTTTAACTTTCTGATAGCAAAAAAAAAGAAATAGACAACATTGGATCTTAAGATTTTTATGACCATTTATCCCAATTTTTTTTGCATTTTTACCTCTTCGTAATTTTTCATGCCATTTGAATGTTGTTTGTTGTGTTCCGCATGAAAATATTCAGTGTTTTTTTGGCATTTTTAAATGTTCTTAATGATTCGGTGGCTTTCTGTAACGCAAGTGGTGCAAAACTCAGCTTCACCTTTGTATAAAAACTTTCTTGCGTTCAATGCTTCTTGCATTCACTGGCTCTTTTCCAGCAAGTAAAGTTTTGGCTTGAAGATTGAAAACTTTCGTTGAAACAAAAACAATTGAAGTTTGAATCCCAGATTCTATTGGCTTTCATTTATAGTCTAGCCTCGTCATTAATAGTTGATGAAATGTTGACAAGAAAATTGCCTTCAACGTTAAAGCAGACCTTTTTCATCAGGTCTGTCATGGTGATTTGATATCGTTTTCTGTCTGAGATGTGTATCCCGTCACCCATAATGGAAAGCATGTGTTAGGTTGAATGAAGTTCCATATGAAATTGAAGAGTAAGGTATCAGTGATATCATTTGTTGCACAGGTAAGTAGTAAATCCCGTATTTTGTGC